AAAAAAAAAAAAACATAATCAGATCTATTCAAGAGTAACGTTTATGCGTTAAATGACAAGAATAGTGACGCCATATATTAGATCAGTGTATATGAGAAAGGTACTTTAACCTTGGCCCCTAATGTGCGCTCAGAACAACCTGCACAAGTGTTCATCAATGATTCATGAGACCAAGATGGATTGAACCATGGTGCATTACTATAGAAGTAGACGTCATCCAATGTGTTCTTCCTGAAATGATATCTTTTCTCGAGGTTGCAACTTGATAACTGGAAGGATTTTATTATTACTTATTATTATTACTAGCCTATTAAATACGCAACCACGTCCAAGTATGGTTCTGGAGTGAAAAAAGAAAGTTTGGTGTCAGATATTGATCAAAATACCTATTCAGTTCCCCATACTTGGACTGAGTTAAGCAGAAAGGAACCAACCCACATTTTGGAAAAAATTGAGTTATGAGTGGTTTTAAACTCAACTACTGCTCTACTAATATCTATTGGAGCTTTTGCAGACATTGAACTTGAAGTTTATCTTTTACATGGAGTCTTATGCAGGAGTCAAACTTTAAACCTCTTTCTCTCGGTTCGATCCCGATTTGGCTTGGTTCCTTTCTGTTTAACTCCGTCCACCTGTGCCTATTTGCTTATTCAACCGAGCGTTTTGTGCGATAGGCCGAATTTAAAATTTAAAAGAGCTGAAAAAAAAGTTTCGTCAAACGTATACTGCTAGTTGGGTTGAATAAACGCGAATATTGTTCGGTCGGCACTAAAGCAAACTTTTCTTTCACCAAACGGTTTTCATGACCGAACCTCTTTTCTTTCAGTGCGTGGCACGCATAGCTATCCAAATTCCACCAATAAAGAAAGAAAGGTAGCTATCGATCAATATCCTAATTTTGGATTCTATAATGGCGAGGGCCATTCCTGCATAGATTTGAAGATGCATTTAAGAATTCGAGCCGAGGAACTAATTGCAGCACAAATTGGGCATCGCAGATTAACCGGTCGAATCATAGTCATATAGGTAACGATTAATTTATTCTCGAAATCATACCCGGTGATTCAAATTGAGATGATGTAACTTTTTGGAGAGATAATTTGCTACCTGTAAATCTTGACAAGTATGTGTGACCTTGGCGGTGAGATTGAAATTTGAACCCAAAGTTGTGCACAGCGTTGCCAAGTGCGAGCTGGGATCGGTGTGTTTTCATTTTCAGAGTAAAATAAATTTCATAGCTAGCGGCCCGATTGTTGATACATAAGCAACGACTTGAGTTTTTGTAAAATTTTAGTGATCAACCGACAACTTCAGAAACTTACTTTTTTCAGCCCTCGTGAAGATTAAAAAAAAAAGCAGACGCAAAATGATTGTATCCAATGAGAGGCCGAACCGCACAAGACCTTCATATAAAAAATTCTAATAAGCAACGTTATTTTTTATGTCCATGGTAAAAAGGATCTCAATGCTAGGTGGCACACATTTAAGACGTCCTTTTTTTTCTTCTTCTTTTTTCAAAAAATTGTTATTTGAACTATAGTGAGAAAGCACTCCCTGGCATCTCAAAGAATTATTTGGGAGCTGTTTAGTTTGTTTTTGTCATTAAAGTGCAAGAAAAAGCACCTTAAATCGTTTCCCAGACATAAAATCGCTTGTTCATTCCAAGGCTGGAAAATATACCAACGATATTTACTTTTTCACACCTAAATGGTAGAAAAGTTCCGTTAAAAATTTCACTGATTATTTTCGGTAAACCATAGGAAAATGCAAGTTTTCAATAAATAAAGTTCCTCAGATTTTCCTAGTAAAAATACAAATCGTAGGTGGCAATTTGCCACGTCAAAGCATTTTTCTGTTCTATTGTCTGAGAAATGACGAAATTTTGAGCCCGAGCGTGTCAAAGTAAAATTTTGATAGAATATTCATTTAAAAAAAAAGAACGTACAACTTTAGAGCTGCAAATTTTGAATCGACATATTTCCCATATTTTGAAATTTTTGGACTTATTCCACCGTGCAAAAAAAATGGAAAAATTTCTTTTCAGGCGTGTTACCAGTGATTTTTATTTATTTATTTTTTTTTTTATTATTATTTTTTTTTTTTTAACACGAAGGTCTTTCGATAAGTGGGCAATCATAGATCCCTCTTTGGCACCGTAAACAATTGGCAACACTGCGTTTTTTCCTCGTGTTACATATGGGAGCAAGTCAAATAATTGTTCATCTCGTTCTCACTTTGACCTACTTCCATATGTCACACGAAGCCGCGTCGATTTTTTTTTCATTAACAGTACTTATGCATTTTTTAGTTTTCCGAGTGACAAATGTTTTCAATCTCCTACAAATAGCCGTGTGGGAAGACAACCTGTTTGAATTTTATATAGAAGCGCAAAATTGTCTACTTCCGATTTGTGTGCACATACGTCCTTAAATCTCTATCCATCAGTCAGAATGGGATCTGCGCACTATGAATGAATCTGTAAGAAAATGTCTTTTTAATGGTCTGCAATCGACAATACGACCCTGAGGGCTCAATCAACTTACATAATATTTATTTCTGATTTTTGTACTAAAATATCCAAAGTTTTACAGTATTTGGATGCAATCGTAAAAAAGCCACATGCTCACACTTTTTCATGATTTTGGAGAATTTTTTTTTCCTCTTTTTTTTTTGATGAATCATTATTCTCAGGGCTATAACGCGATCAGAGGCAAGAGAGGTGTGAGTCAATTTCAATGCCTCACATGTTTTTCTTATGGGCCATTTTCATAATGACAGTAAAATACGCAGACTTTTCTCTGCTCTTCAGACAATTTTTTTTTCCTCCTTTTTTATGTACATATCGATAGTAAAACTGCAAGAACGTGTATCTCAGAAAATACGTTTGTACAGGAGAGGCAAAAAAAAAAATGTTTATTTACTCTTTTTTGACAATAGCAAGCGGTGTAAGTAATAATACTTGAAAACAGCAAGAAAAAGAGACTCTGTAAAGAGTCTCTTTTCTTTTTGCTGGCAGTGTGTTAACACACTGCCAGCAGTTTTGGGAATTATGAAATACAGACCGCAACGATTGCTTTACGAATTAGGTTTCAACACTTAATTTTGACTTACACGTGAATTAAGAATCATTTCTGTCGGCCGGTTATTTGCCTGATTCAATCGAATCAGGCTCAAACAAAGTGTTCGGAGGAACAGCATGCTTATATGTACTCATTGTCGGTGAACTATAAAAATCTCCAATAGCGATTCTGGGCTCCTAATGCCGTTGAATTGCTTAAGAAGCGTTAGTGCAGCGCACGCGCAGTAGTGCTACAACAAGGGCATTCACAGGTAACTACAGATGATTTGATCTTATGTCCGATCACTCCATACTGACTTTTTAAGCACTCTACTGCAGTGGCGTGGCGTAAATTGCGATATATCGATTGTTATGCCATTTAAACATATTGGAAAGGATCGATAAACAGGGTGTTCGCAGCGAACACCTAAATAATCGATTCTTTACCATAGGTTTAAATGGCAGAACAATCGATACATCGCAATTCACGGCACGTCGCTGCTCTACTGATTCATATAGGAGCCGGGATGAGGTGCGCGTTCTGAGAATTAGTGCCGAATTGCGCGGTAATTAAATCACGCTTTTCGATAGCTCCTCGATTTTTTTCGAGAGGCAGACTCACTAAAAACAACAAAAACATAAGTCTGGGATGTTTGGGGGTGGTTTCAACCCCCTCTTCGACCAGGAAACAAAAATATAGAAAAGTGTAAAAATTAAAACCCTCAGAACCCCCAATTGATGAATAACTTTATATACATTATATATGTTTCCTGATCGAGGAGGGCCTGAAGCAACTCAGAAACGTTCCAGGCTTTGTGTTTATTGTCTTTTAGGCCTTGTCTCCACGGGCCGTTTTCATAGGCTTTGTCCCAAGTTCGAATCGCAGGAATGAAACTTCTGGGATTTTGCCCAGTTACCGTCTCCACGGGACGAGGCTCATACGGCCCTGTGACTAGTTTGCGGGGGAAGATAAATTAGATAAAGTCGAGTATTTAACCGGGATTAAAATAATAATTGCACTCAATCGACAATTAGACACATTATTTTAACTAAACAAACATGAACAATGGAGTATTCAACAAAATATCGCACAATTCGTTTACACTTCTTCTTCCTCTCTCAGTGGGTCCTAGGAGTAAAAGGACCATACTTGGTACTGGGAAAAATATTGATTAACTCAATATTTTCCCCAACTTCGTAAGTGGGATTTTTCCCTGGGACAAACCTCGTGAAAAGGCCCGTGGAGACAAGGCCTCAGCCTAAATGCCCATTTTCTTGTGTTTTTTAGTAGAATTATTTGGGTCATTTTTGTGTATTATTCTTATTTTATCAGTTCGGTGCAATCGTAGAGTTTGGTCATACGAACCGCAAGTTCGATCCGACGAACCGAAATTTTACTGGAATGAACCGAACACTGTTCGATATGGTACACTGAACGTTGGGCGAACTTTTTCTCAGTGTAAAAAGTCCGCTGGGCGATTACTCACTTTCCTCAAGTGCCTATGACGAAAGGCGATCGTGAGCAGTGGCGTGGCGTAAATTGCGATGTATCGATTGTTATGTCATTTAAACCTATGGTAAAGAATCGATTATTAAGGTGTTCGCTGCGAACACCCTGTTTATCGATCCTTTTCCATAGGTTTGAATGGCATAACAATCGATATATCGCAATTCACGCCACGCCACTGATCGTGAGGCACGGCTGCGCGAAAAGCCATATCGACTGGGCTTAGCTGACTGATCTGCCGTGATAGCGAAGAGAGTAGTAACTTACTGCCAGTAAGTGGATTTCTGTATGAGCCTTGATAAGCACATGCTTTTATGTGTCTCGAGGTTCATCCCAGCATGCACTTACGGCCCTCTTCGCCATCACGGCAGCGATATAGCTGCAACGATGGGGAAAAAGTCTCTGATCTCCCTGCTGGAACCTTAAACTCCATTTCAGTTGAAGGTTAGCGTCTGGTCAGCGTCTCAGCGCCGTGTAGATCTCTGCGGGTAAACGCATGGCATGCAGTTGTGTTGACGCAACCATCAGATCATGATCTCCCGAAGAACTCCATTTTGAGAATTCCCCAGTTTTCAGTAAACGTCGGGTTTTATACCATCCTTCTTGTAAGAAAACCCCGTCAGACATTCACGTTTGTCTTTCAATCGCTGGATGCAAGTGGACCTCTTTACCTTAAAGTGACATCTTTGCGTCGCGTGCCGCTGTTCCGAAGTGTCATCCCGATTGGAACCTTTTGACTCCAGGTAAACTATACATTTTTGAGTAGCATGCTTTCAAGGCGTCTTCGGGCAATTTCTCTGGTAAATCTTTTAGAGGAAAAAAATTGCATGATTTTCCCAGAAAATAAAAAAGTTTTTAGTTAAAAGTTAAATGTGATTTGTTCTGGAAAGAGGAACAACACATCGTTCCTAGGTCATTTAAGAGAGCTAAAAATATAATTTTTAAACCGACAAACCCCTGAAAATCCAATCTGAATGTACTAGGGCACCACTCAAGATAGGTCAGGTGCAAAGATTTACCTCAGAAACCCTTTAACGCACCACCAGAAGACAGAGCTTAGGTCTGTTCTCGTCCCCTTTTTCAACTTTAGAACTTTCAGCATGGTATTCCAAGAGTCTTCATTTTTTCAAAACCTTCAACCAGTTATTTTCGCGTCGCAATACTTCGGGCCAGTTCCAAAAATTTGGGCCTGCTCAGATCATCAGAACGGTCAGAATTCCCTCCGTGCAATACCCAAAAATGTATTCATTTATAAAATTTTGATGAGAGCGGTCCTTCCGAAATCACGCTAATAAGCTAAACTTTTAGAATTGGCACCGTTCACATCGTAACCGTAAAAATCGTACGTTAATTTCAAAATATCGCGATTTGTCCGTTGATAAGTGGATCGTATTTAGCAAAAAGGAACCCGCGCAATTACAGTGGTGTTAAAATGTTGTTTCTTCATAATCATCTAAAAAATCTTCCAAAATAGCAAATAGTTTTTACATCCCTCCAAAAAATTAGTAATTTTGAAGGGAAATAATTGTGTTAATTTTAATACTGTACATGTATTCAGTATTTTTTAAAGGAAAAAAAGAATTTGCACGATTTTGAAAACACTGCATTCACGCTGGGTCCTTCTCGCTAAATGCGGTGCAAATATTACTTACAATTACAGAAAGCGACATTTGAACACTTTTAGGGATTATCCTACACGTAGCTCACTCACTTTATGAGAAAGCGCTCCACTACAGTTGACAGCTTGCCGCGACGAGGGGAATGTCCTTTGCACCGATCAGAGAACGAGCGCCGAATTTCGTGCAGCCTTTGCGGAGGGCATTTGATAACGGTGCTGCTGGAGTGCGTGGAGCGAACGGTTGAAAAGGCACGAGACAGGTTTTGCCTCGGTCGCGCGCGTTTCTGCTTTCCTGATACTTCAAATGCCGCCACCGCCGTTCAACGTGCTTTTGAGTTCGTGCGCGCTGTAGAAACAGCCGGAGCTGTAGAGCGGTAGTTGTAGCAACACTGAGCTCTATCGCGCTGGATATCAGCAGCTTAATGTTTCCAAGTCCACGTCCTGAACTCGTTAGAAAGCCCGGTTTTAACCGCTTTCTCGTAGAGTGAGTGGGCTACGTGTAGGACAATCCCTAAAAATGTTCAAATGTCGCTTTTCATAATTTTGAGTAGCATTTATCAACGGACAACTCGAGATATTTTGAAATTAACACGTGATTTTAGTATGATTTTTTGGCGACAAAATCGCCAGGATCATCAACATCCGAGCGATTACTTTCGATCTTGTAGCAATTTCTATCTCTATAAAATCGCGTTCAATAAAATTGAATTTTTTTCTCAATTCATTTCGATTTTTTTGATAATATTGGTATTCTTCGCCAGCGATAAAATTACAATTTCATTGCGACTATGTGCGATGAAATTGTAATTTTATTGCAACTATTTGCCTGTGATAGGGTAAAGATAAACCGGAGCACAAATTAACTATATGTTCAGGTTTCATAGTATTAATTGATCTTAAACTAAAAGGTGACATAAATAGAACCAAGAAAAATTAAATACAGAATCATGTAATATAAAAAGCCTAAACAAAATTTAAGAGAAAAATCTGAAATATGTAGCAAAAAAGTATAAAATTATAAGAGCAACGCGTAACGCTTTACGCCTGCGGCGCGAAGCATCTCAAAGAGTTGGAACGAGAAACAGTCAAAGAGGGTCTAATCTTAAAACCGAAATACATTGATAACTCTGTAATTGAATAAAATGAAAAGTAAATCTTTAAATTTGAACTTTTACTGAGCGGAGGTATTTAAAAATAACTTATTCGTTGATTATATGTACATTTTCATTTACATTGAATTTGAAAATGATTATTTTTAATCATTAAAGGTATTAGAGATACCTAAATACACTTAAAGAGACACCTAAATAAGCTGAATATTTTAGTGTCAGAATAAGAAATGTAATGAGCTGTAACAAAACTTCTACAGAAAAGTGAAAGTCATAATTGATATGATTTATAGTCTACTCAATGTATCACTCGAAGAGCTCGCTGATCACACTGTGCCTTTTCGTCGAGTTAGAGAGAAGGAAAAAGCAGAAAATCAGGACTAAATGATGGGTTTGGTTCGACCATTTACCGGGCAGGACCACACATTCGAGAATTTCCTTAGTTTCAATGCTGAAAATTTTGTTTCTTAAAACTTCCAAAACGCTCGGGTGAAATAACCTGAAACTAGCGATGACTTAATCAATGGCTCAACCGAAGACGCCAATGATAATGTCGCCGATGTCATCAACTATTAAAAAAATTAAGCTTTTAATCACTAAAGGCTATCCTAAAATTTTAACTTGATGGTTTTTTTATTGCAAAAATCCATTGGGAGAACAGTCCGAAAAAATTACTTGCTGAACACTCGATAGACCTCCCTCCACCTCTCGGCCGAAAGGAGAAACGGATTTTTACAAAATAAATTAAACGATTTTTTGTCTAATAAATATTGGAAATCTACCTAGAATCCATAATTATTAAGTCCAGTTTGCATGATTATGACCCCTCCCTCCCCCTTGACCCCACTATTTTTCTACCTTGGCATGATCTCATCATCAAAAATTGTGAACACAAAAGAAATAAAATACAAATGTAGGGAGAATTTTATGTATACAGATCTTGCCTATAATGCATCTTGAGATCTCTTGCTGCCTTTCATCATGCCGGCCATGTTGTTAGTCTCTGAGTTTTCGGCTGTACTGAAAAACGTTATGATATGATTGACAGACTGGATAATTGGCGATGTTTGGGGTTGTTTTGCTGTGCATAGGAATATGCTTGGCATTATATGCATACTCGACCTCGACGTTCAATTACTGGAAACACCGCGGTGTCATCTACGCCCGCCCCATCCCCTTCTTCGGCAACATCAAACCCGTCATCACCTTCCAAAGGACATCCGGACAATGTCTCCAAAGCATCTACAAGTAAGTTTCTCAAATCTATCTACTAATCGAACATATCTATACAAAATATGTCAATCAACGTAAAAGAACGTACCCGTGATGCTTTAGGTGGTTTTTTAAAATGAAGTCCACAGAAATCCCCCCCCCCTCCCGAAATCAAGATTCTCGAGCAACTTTAAATATTCAAAGGACTTACCTACAACACAACAGTCACGAGAAAGAGAATATGAAGAAACACATTTGTTTACATTTTGGTTTCTTACTCCATTTTACTCCTATTGGTTCCCGCCAATTCCAGTGGCGCGCTCGGCAAAATTGACGCGCCAATTTTCAAATAAGCGGGGAGTACACAAGTTGCGCGCACACTTGAAAATCGGTATCGTAGTACGCTTTTTGCTCGGTTGTTTTATGGCGCACGAAATTAAGGAACACGGGGTTAAACAACAACAACAACAACAAAAACAAAAACAACTACTACTACTAAAACTAGAGTGTTCCACCTAAATTCTGATGAGGGTCTAAATAAATGAAATAAGGGCATTTTAAGGGTTTATTGTCCTAATGAAGCTTGCTTGAATTCATATTTTCAGTCAATTTCCTGATGAGCCCTTCGTGGGGATGTGGATGATTCGAAAACCAACAATGCTGGTTCGGAGCCCGGAGATGATCAGAGATGTTCTGGTGAAGCACTTTCAGGATTTTATGGACCGCGGGCATCCCTTCGACGAGAGCCGGGAACCCATCACAGCTCACTTGGTCAACCTCACCGGCGACCGGTGGCGCCATCTCCGGCAAAAGCTGTCTCCGGCCTTCACGACTGGCAAACTCCGGCTCATGACCGACTTACTCGTCAAGTGCGGCGAGACACTCTCGGATTACGTTTCGGTAGATATTCCACCATTGATATGACTCAGTTTTTCAGCAAGGAACCAAATTTATAGTGGACCCATCCATGAAATCACGTAGTCAATATCACTTATGCGAAGGGGAGGGTGAGCAACGGTGATAAAATACTCTGTACGTTGCCGACTGTTGTCAGTTCTTCTTTTCTTTGTATATGTTGGTTTTTTTTGGCCTGTCTGTGGTCTCTACCAGCGTAGATTCGGACCGCGTAAAGCAGAAAGGAACCGAGACACATCCGCTGTTGCCAAATTTAACCGAGTAATTTATTTTTTTAAATGAAAACTGTCATGATTTTTTTGTGTTGTGGGGGGGGGGATAAAATGATCCGTAACACGTAACTCGAAATGGTAGAGCTGCTATAATCTATGGTGATCGGTACAATCGGAAAGTACAGAGCGCTATAACTAGATACACTAGACTCGCTGCCTCGAAGGTATGACGACGCGCCGCGGGCCCCTCAGAGTATATATCTCGGTATCATCCGGAAGAGCGATGATGTCCGAAGATGTCATTGCGATGACCCAGCAATGCTCCAAGGTAGATACTCTGAGGTCGCCGAAATGCACGCGCGAGCTTGCGCTCCGAAAGCATGGCCTTCGTCCCAAGGTATCGGACGCATCGTGGAAATGCGGACATAACTGCCATAGGCGATATGGCACGCCTTACCACGACAATTTGTGTACAAATCTGAGCGAATTTTCTGCGATGTATACGGAGCGACTTCCGCAACAACTTCCGCAATCCGCACAAACTTTCTCTCGTGAAAAATGAAATTGTCCAGTTAAATTTGGCAATGGCTGATGTGGCTTGGTTTCATTCTGCTAAACAGATCCATATATAACAGCTCATAGCCGCTGCCGTGAATCTACGTACACTGTAGAGCGTAGAGGTACATTGAAAACATTTGGAAAAATATCACATTCGATACTGATATCAAAACTGCACTCGAGTGCTATGTTTTCACTCTAAAAAAAAAACCACGCCCATATTACGTTGAACTTGTTTGTAAAAATTGGTAGGTCAATTCTTTAGTCTCCTGACAACAGAATTGGACGAAAATGACGAGTACCAGAAAAAATGGAACCAATTCATGCGATATATCGAATGTCGTTCTGACGCAAAATTTAGTGTCCATCAAATCATCTTAATGTATCGAATACGAGGTTTCAGGACATTTTGTTAACGATTTTTTGTCCGCGCACCTTTTTTGTCCAGTAGTATACGCCCACACGTAAAATAAGCAACATATTTTATAGTCGATACGTAAAATTATATTGACAATATGGAAATGAGAAATAGAGAGAGAAAGAGGTGTTGTTATGGTTGCTCATTTTCTAAATGAAATGTTATTACTTTCTCCTTTTGAATCATCTTTTTAAATTGTCATTGGTAAATATTTGGTTTTATTTCTATCCTTAAAATATTCGATGTACAATATACCTTATGTATGCATAGGTACTTTTTTTTATTTTTTTTAAAATTTTTTCTTTACGAAATTTTTACTTCATTTTGAAAACATGTATATTTTTAAAACGTGACAAATATTTATAAAACCTTTTCCAAGCGACATTAATCTCAATGAGCCGCAGTTGTGCCGACAGAAACTGCAAAAATGAATAAAAGAGGGAAAAAAACCAAGAGGCACGCAATCTTTAGTTTTAACCCATTTGCGCATCGATCTTTTAGAGTCAAATACGTCAAATTTTGAGCCCTTGGTTGCGCGTACACCTCGCTGCAGCACAATAAAAGCACAACATGTAAAAGAAAAAATTAAAGTGCTTCGGAAATCATTAAATTTGACACGGAACCACCAATATTTAAAAAACACATTATTATTCTCCTTTGATGAATTTATAAATATTTTTTCCCATCAATTTAAATGAGAATAATCAATGCAGAGTGTGCAAACATTTCAAAATCATGAGTTAAAAAACGCTGACTATGCGAGTATAAATATTAAAGCCTAACAGAGCGGAGCGGCGCGGCGTGCTGCCAGCGCGAGAGGCTCACTGGCGCCTACAAACTTAAGTGGATACTTCACGCATTGCACAATGCTTGAAGTATCCACTTAGGTCTGTAGGCGCCAATGCGCGTTTCGCGCTGGCCGCCCGCCCGCCGTGCGGCCAGCGGCGCCTGAAGCAACTATATCACAACAGAGGTGTTGCACAGTATTATACGAAATTGAACGTATTAAGAATGACAGGCATCCTTTAAAAGTACAGATCTTTCCTCGCAAAATAAATCAAGATACTTATCGTACACAGAAAAAATCTAAGAGACTTTAGCTGAGGCAAATATAGAGGTTTATCCGGTTCAGGTATAACAAGGTAGGAAGTTCTTGAAAGATAATTAAGTCCTGTTACACCAAAGAGGTGTAGAGAGTTTTAGTGAATTTTGTCTCATGGAATTGACGCTCCCCCATTTCTACCAAAACTCTCAACTATATATTATTCTCCGTCGGACCAAACAGACAAAACAAAAAAACAAGCAAACCCTCATTCTTCCAAGACATTATACATTTTCATCCAAAAACGTCGTGAGCAATGGTAGTTTGTATTTACATGTGGGCCAATTAACTTTGGGTCTCATCTGGCATGTGCACCAAAACTCCCGTGCCGAAAAAATGCTTGGACGTAAATCACTGGAAAATACAGGTGCGCGGACAAAAAATCGTTGACGAAATGTCCTATAACCGAATACGATCTGTTAATGTAGAGCCAGTCCGCTTTTGAAAAATGAACTCACTTCACCATTTTGCAGCACTTGCTTGAAACGGAGCAAGGCAGCCGCCTCGAAATCCGAGAGCTGACGGCGAAATATTCGACGGACGTTATCGGCTCGGTGGCGTTCGGTCTGGAGTTCGAGTCCTTCGCCGCAGAGGATGCTCCATTCCGTGCCATGGGCAGGAAGGTCTTCTCCCCCTCGATGAAGTACGCCGTCTCCATGGTCGTGCGCCAGTTCTTCCCCGACGTCTACAACTACCTCGACCTCCGCAGCTTCCCCAAGAACGTCAACAACTTCTTCGAGGACCTCACCAAGGACACGATGGAGATGCGCAAGAATAACAATATCCAGAGGAACGACTTCATGCATCTCCTGTTGAAGTTGAAGGAGGAAGAGGAAAGAATCCAAACCGAAAACAAGAGCTCCACAGCGTTCGGTGAGATCATAGACTAGAGTACCTGTATAGCGAGAGTATGGACAGATCGCTTCATGGAGAGCTTAGGGCCCAAAAGTGCAGCCACCCTTCTAACCAACTTCTGACGCACTAAATTTCACTGCCAGTCTGTGGATTCCAATTCTAACGAAGATGGCTAAGAAAGTAGGTACATAAATGAGTGTTCTTCCACAAAAATGAGTAAATTTATGCAAAAACTAAGTCAAATACGTGCTTTATAAACGATGGTTCGTAACAATTGTATTAACAAATCGTTCTGGATAATTGAAATTCATAGGTTGGCTGCATTTCTGGGCCCTAACTTTATTCACGGAGGCATCGGTGAAGGCCTGATGGATTTTCGGAGTTTCACATCTGTCTATACTCTCGCTATACAGGTACTCTATCATAGACCAGAGCAGAGACCCTCCACTGGCCTCTTGGCGACAGGTGGAAGCTTTTACTTTCAGGGATTCAACACTTCCTTATGGACAATAATAAGGGAGCAACAGTCATCTTACCTGCTGCACTGGAAAAAAACACATTGGATCTGGAGTCCAGACTCCTAAAAACATCGACAAGAAAAATTACTCTTGATTCAATCAGAATCTAGATTAAATCAAGAACCAAGCCTTTTAATTGAAGCGGATTTCGTTTTGATTCAAGCAAAAATCCGATTGAATCAAGAGTGTTTTTTCTTGTCAATATTTTCAAGATTCCAGAGGCGGATCCAGCAATTTGGCAACACTGAAATCTCTCTACTTAAACCCATGCTAAATAATCGATTCTTGCCGGAGCACCTGGCCCCTCCAAGAATCGATACATTTCCATAGGTTTGAATGGAGAAAAGACGATGTCAATTTGCTGGATCCGCCAATGCAAGAGTCTGGACTCTAGATCCAATGTATTTTTTTTTTCCAGTGTGGGTGGATGATGAGCTTCGGGTGACGTCATGAACCAAAGAAGTTCCCCAAAACTTTGGTTGGTTTGCGAAACGAAACTCCCATCACGTTGTTAACCATCTACCTAGTAGGTAAATCAACAGTTGAATGTTGAAGTCCCAAAAGTATAAGTTTTCACCGTTGTCAAGATACCAGTGGAGGGTCTCTTGTCTCTGGATGAGATTAAGATAAGGTCGTTTTGACTACATTTTGGAATAAACACAATTTAGGACCTAGTTCGTCGTTTCCTTCTCAAAAGAACATAACTCCATTTCAATGTTGCCAAAATTCCCCTCGCAAATTGCATATTGATTGGAAGAATATCTAACATTTCCAACCGAAAATTTCACTGATTTTTCTCTAAATTTCATGCAAAAAAGAAAAATGTTTAATAAAAATCGCATAGGTACATTTTTGTGAAATAAAGTAGTTGTTCGAGTCAGTTTGGCAACTTCGGAATGGAGTTACGCAGTTACGTTCCTTCTTCTGGAGGAGGACAAATTTATGGACAGAGTCTTGCATTAAAATTCAGTTTACGAATAAAATTCTAATTACAGAATGCAAAAACATATCACGTCGAGAATATGGTCAAATTTGATTTATCATTAATCACGAATCATCAATTACTATATCATGAGGAAATGTAGGAGATAACACTGCAGCATTTGCAATATTTTTATACGTAGAAAGGAAATCAAAATCGGAGAACTGACAACAAGGGTGCAACCCTGTGTTGAAAGGTACGTGAACATGGACAATCCGAGAAAAACGATGCAACCGTTATGAGATGTCTAACTGCGATCGTCGCATACCAGTTAGAAACAATTTTTTACACAAAATGGTGTATGTCCCACGGGAGGAACATGGCCCTTTTTTCATACGTCAAATGCCGATTGGCATCAAAGACCAAAGAGCCGTTTCAATGACTTATACTCAAGTGAGCACCTTGCGTTTCGTATGATGCTAAGGGTGGTTTTTTTTTTTTTTTATCATGAGGCGTCACGTCTTGAAGCATGAAAAAAAAAAATAATTATGCGCATTTCATGTACTTTGTGAATATAACAACTTTAATACCCAATTTGAGAATTGCAATAGGACATGTATCATTGGCTCTGGAAAAAAGGAAAAAGTCCAGGCTATGACCAATGACCATGCTAATACGGGGAACCAGGGAAGCAGAAGAGGTGTAACTCCCCACACATATAGGTGCTTTTATAAAATCCATACAGAGTAAAATTTCCATGGAAGCTGCGAACTTCATGCTCCACCGAGATGAGGCATACCTATCCGATAGAGGAATAAAAAACGCCTTCAAAATAGCGAACACGCAACCCCACAACAGCCATATCTAGTTATTCGTTCAACTGAGAACGGAGCGCCGGAGTGTGCTGTTAGTGCACGGATTTGCGACGAAAAATATTTATATTTTCCCCTTTCCTATGTATCATCATCTTTATTACGAGTATTATTTTTTTCATCATTATTTTAGAATTTAGTATGAAAACTGTAGCAGCTCAAGCGTTTGTGTTTTTTGCGGCCGGTTTTGAGACGACGTCGACAACATTGAGTTTTTGCCTCTACGAGTTGGCACTCAATCCTGAAATTCAAATAAAGGCTGTTCAAGAGGTCCGGAACGTAAAAGAAAAGTATGGGATGCTATCCTATGAAAGCACTCAAGAAATGACTTATGTTGAACACATCATTGAAGGTAGGTGGACTTTTTCCAAGTTTTCCACTGATTTTCATTTGAAAAATTGGGAGAGGAAGTTGGAAATCTAGAGAATGAATGTTGGCTCTTTCTAGCTCAACTTCTGTCAATATTTCACAGTGTTTTGTCTAATTTGCTCACCTGTAATTAAGTACGCATTTAATCAAATAATTCTCGTGAAACTAGCAAAAAGTGTTTTTCAGATGCCTCAGGAAGGGGTTGCATTAAAATTCGGACTGATTTTTCGATCAAAATTTCTTCGATTCTGCAACCCAGCTTTGCGGAAAGAGCTTTTCTAAAAATGTATCCCATTGTTAGTGTAGAGAACCGTCCATAGCGAAAGGACAGTCATGTTTAAAGGGCCATTAAGAGGCTCCCATTCGGGTTGTGTCGTCGTAAAAAGTATTTGAAGACTTCACGAGGGGATGGGCTCAAAAAGGACACTATTAACTTGATATAGGCAAAGCAGAGTGAACTCTCTTTTGTCAAAGCAATGGATTTAAACCCTTAATTGTAGTGAACCAAAACCTATATCATATATTACTCTTGAACTCATCTTGTTTATCGCAGAAACTCTAAGGAAACATCCGCCAGTGATGAACTTGTCCCGAATTTGCACCCGGACAACTACCATCCCCGGGACCAAAATAGAGATCGAAGAAGGCACGAATGTCATGATCCCTGTTTATGCTATCCACCATGATCCTCAATACTATCCAAATCCAGAGGTCTTCGATCCGGAGAGATTCACGCCTGAGAACTCCAGGAAAAGACCCAACTTCACTTTTCTCCCATTCGGCGATGGACCTAGAATTTGCATAGGTGAGTCATACTTAAGCAGATCAACTAATTATAATTTCCGTTTTAAATGATTTAGATTAACTCGAATTTTATTTGCGGTGAACAATATACCATGAAACTTTAAATAAATGAAGCGATGCATTGCCCCTTTTGGGAGTAGGCGTTTCGAGATATTGCTATTGACACACGTAACCATATAGAGGTACCTATCATCTCAAGCAGACGGAAGAAGGCGCGAAGGCAACTTTTTGGGGGAGCAGAGAAATAAATATGCTCATGAGGTCATATCATGGAAATTCCAGGAAATAGAGAGTCTGTGAAAGCAAGGCAGGTGGATATTGTTTTCCGATATAGCTATTAAAAATACGTATTTTTTAAATGATTTTCTAAATGAAAACCTACCTATATTCAACGTCAATTTTTTAAAACGTCATTGTTTTTTCTTCTCTGTAGGAAACAAATTCTGGAATTCTGTGAAAACTTCAAGTAATAATGTTGCTTTGTTCCCTTGAAGAAAAATTAATAAAATGGGAGCGGAGATTTTAGCGAGATAGGTACTTGGTTTGAGGGTTTCACAGTCTATGTTTGCAAATGCTGGTCTTTTGAATTGTCGCTCTCAGGTTAAAGAGGCGTATGATACAAATTTTCGTGTTTGGAACTTTTACGATATTACAAGTATTTAAGAGACTCTGCTGTGTTTCAGGAATGCGTTTTGCGTATATGGAGATGAAGCTGTGTCTTGCTCAATTTTTGGAGAAATTTCACGTCAGCCCATGTATCAAAACAACGATACCTCTACGTTACAGTAAATCATTTTTATTGCGACCAGAGGGAGGACTCTGGCTTGGTGTATCCTCTCGTATAAAAACAGAGGAATATTCTATTTGAATTTCTTCGTAAAATTCTCATTTTGAACGCTCTTGAGTAATATAATTTTCCAATGGCATACATTCAACCACTGCCAAGGGTTTATATTTAAAACCTGCTACAATGTATAATTTCAATATTTAGTTTATGTGATATCTAGCTTACTTGGATTATATATTTATTGTTATTCTAGGGTCAGTATAAGTATTATTTTTGATCTCATTTATGTCTATCATTTTTCCCCGCTAACTACAAGTCTTTTAAAATTATTCCTTTTTTTTATTTCTGAAACAAATGAAAATTAACTATCCTACCTTATCGGTAATTTTGTCATTATTTATTTGCTCTTAACTCCCAAAGACATATAAGAAAAAATTTCCAAAACTGATTTTTGAGCCATCGGGCAGGGCGCTAAGTCATGCACTAGAATTCCTCATTTAATGGTCACACGGTCTCTGTCGGCGAATTTGTTGTAGACAAGATAACTTGATCCGTTGGAATCGCATATCAGTTCGCCTTCAATTTATAGGCTAGGTTGGCAACACGAGCTCCCGCGTAGTGGATTAGTGGTATCGTCGTGAAATGGTACACTCTCTCAGGAGTCAGGACACACACAAATAAGAGCTTTTGATATTGACAAGAATTGATGGATTCCGATGAACGTAAGCCAATCTATGCATTGATTTGATTGAGGAATAATAGAAAAACATGTTCGTTTTTCTTATTCAGCCGAAATTTCACAATTGGAACAATCCCAATCTATTTCGGAAATTCTAGCAAATTACTCAATTAATAAAGTGAGAAAGTATTGAGATTGTAATTTATGGCAAAGCTTCAAGACCCGCAACTCTCGTGTCTTGTCACGTGCTTGTTGCGAGTAAGTGTGCGTTTCCAAATAAAAATTTCGAAACGTACATTTAGAGTTTCTAAATACCGTAAACTGTAAAACTAATAATTTAAGGTTGCAGCTACTCAAGGTGTAGGTCCTTTCTTATGAGAATACATAAGATAAAAGCCAATCAAAATAACAGTTCAAAGATTTATTTGCAAGATTTTGATTAGACAGGAACTCAATTTGATAACATATTTACAAATAATTTACACAAGATTTTAGACAAATATACAACGCACAATTTTCATTTTTACTATACCATTCTGCGTGCTTTGCCAAAATATTGTTAGACATCTGGACGCGGCACCTTGGCAAGATTTTTCTGCCCGCAGTTTATAGGTATAAGGTACCTTTTAGCAAAAGATGATTCTAATGATAGTGTCCAAGCGCAATGGCGTGGCGTGCTTTGCGATATATCGATTGATCTGCCATTGAAACCTATGGAGAAGGATCGACGAGGGTGTTTGCAACGAACACCTTCATAATCGATTCTTTACCATGGCTTCATATGAGGAAATATCGATAATCGATTATTCACGCCTCGCCATCGTCCAAGCGCTTCCATTAATAGTGTCTTTACTGACGACTAAGCTCCCTAGTAGACTTCTTTCATTTAATCAATTTCATTTCACAGCGGACAACCCACACACAATTATTTCAGTTTCGACATGTGCGATTACATGAGATTGTTGCCATTTTCTCAATAGACTCATGTGGATTCAAATCATTCCTTAGAGGTTTGAAAGAAATCAGAAGGTCGCATGTGTGTGCCAAAAAGGGCTAAATAAGCACTTTTCTTTACATAATTCAACGTAAAAAACATTAATCAGGCAATTTTGCAACAATCGACTGTCTTCTTTTAATGAAATTCACTACATTCAGTGCATACATATTTTCCTCAAACTATAACATGAAACGCTTCAACGAGCTAATTTTTCTCTAAATAAAAGTTGGTTGTAAAAATCAACATGATTGAAATAGCTTTTCGAACCTGTTGATTCAGCGCTAATACGTGCTATGCATGTTTGCATGTGAGTCGATGTCCTCTAACTATGCGGGCTTTCGTTTCATCGTGTCCTGCTAGTCCAGGCGCCTGGTAGCTAAAAATGAGGCTACCTGGAATTTTGGGTACACAGCGATTTTTTTGGCTTACTTTATGTTTTTTGGGTCGCTGAATCCGAATCTGAAGTTTCCGCAGGCGTATCTGGTGAGCATTTTCCGCTATTTTGAAAAAATGGCCTTAAAAGGCCTTTTTTTGCGGTTTTTTTGATATAGCGGCTACGGATGAGGAAAAGTCCCGGATTTAGCTAATGTTTTGAATAGCTGACAAAATTTGGAAGAAAATGGTATATAAATATGCTAGGTTTGCTCAAAAATTGAGGAACCTCGGATTTCGGAACTTTAGAACGCTTCGGAACTTGGCTGACCGCGGCGAGCCGGATCGCGCGTTGACGGGTGCGCCGCGAAAACGTGAATAGGCGCGATGTTCACGATGCTGTATCTTCCTCAATTTTTAAGCAAACCTAACATATGTATATACCATTTTCTTCCAAATTATGTCAGCTATTCAAAACATTAGCTAAATCCGGGACTTTTGCTCATCCGTAGCCGCTATATCAAAAAAACCGCAAAAAAAGGCCTTTTTAGGCCATTTTTTCAAAATAGCGGAAAATGCTCACCAGATACGCCTGCGGAAACTTCAGATTCGGATTCAGCGACCCAAAAAACATAAAGTAGGCCAAAAAAATCGCTGTGTACCCAAAATTCCAGGTAGACTTACCAGGCGCCTGGACTATGCGTGATACTCCCAGCTATGTCATGTGATTTTGATTTGGCGCGCCTTCAATTACGCGAGATACTCCAAACGTTGACGCAAAGTTCCGATATCTACTCAAACGTATCTCCACGTAGTTTTATCATTCAATGGATTCCTATGCACCTCCCGTTAAGAGTCGATGTGTAGTTAGCCAATTTTACACAAAACTTGTATGCCCCGACCTGACTCAAGGCGGTACTCAATTGAATTGTCAATTGCTTGAACATACCGAAGGACATCTTTGTACAAAAAATCAACTAATTATTTTGATGAAAGCTAGTCTTTAATTATTACAAGTAATAAATGGAATGTTCTTGTCTCACTCTCATAAGAATCGTTTAGACCTTTAGCAGAAAACGCGATCTTACGTCTGTTGACACCACTTAAAGGTCACTTGGTATTTTTGTGCACTGGATTCTTCAATTGTTATGCGAGAATTGAAAAGCTAATCGTAAACCGAGTGGTTAAAAGAAAATATAAAATCCAGCTCAGCTTATACAGTTATTTAAATCGTAGATTTCATTTCTTGCATCAAACTGACAAAGTTCAAAATGATTTAAGTTTTAAAGATTAATAAAACAAAATAAAAATAAGAAACATCGGAATCGTCATTCTGTTGATTTAATATTTTAATATGGAATCGACAGAAGCAAACAGATACTTTCCTTCAATTCAAGGTCATCAAACTATATTTACTGTGCAGTATACCTACCTCCGTATATAATATATATACCCAATCTCTATATTCACCATATGGAACTTTTCTTACAATGATTCCATCCGTTGCATTATGATGAGCAATGCTTCATTAGATATTAGACAAGAGACATTAGACATGATTAAGAGAACAGATTTTGCACACATTTCAACGATACTAAAGCAGAGATATTATGTTTTCAGGGAAGTGTCCAAATTTTAGTAAAAGGCAATATAAATCACACGGATTTCATACGGAAGACGAAAATATTGAGGGGATGTTTCTAAGTTTGTAATAAATTGTCCAATTTTAACATAAGAGGCTTTACAAATCAGGAAAATTTCACTTAGCATGTGCAGATTTTGCCTTCTTAATCCAGTGTTTTCCAGCATTTTGACTCTCTCATGCGCAAAATGACTCTGATGAGAGGGTTATTTATCCGAGAAAGGCGTGTTAACGAAGTATGTTGTTAAAGTTCCCTTTCCTTTGACGTAAGTCGGGCCTCGACACACACAGTCGTAGCCTGCACCAATCAAAATTTTTGCGGTGTCCTCAGTGACCTATGAAAAAAGGAGTAATAACAGTATATCAGAGGAGTAGTATTTGGAGATAACTTGATTACACTACAATTTAATCGTTTGCTTTGGAAAGTACTAGACTCGGCAAAAATAAAATATATATGCAGTAGTTTCTGGCTTAAGTGCATCTTTGCATATTTTTTTGTTGAGAAAATCGCCCGACCTCAAGATTTAAAAAGTAACAGTCTGAGGCGGATACAGCAATTTGGTAACACCGGATTCCCTCCATTTAAACCTGTGTTAAATGATCGATTCGTGTCGGAGCACCTGACCCCTCCAAGAATCGATACACAGGTTTAAATGAGAATAACAATGTTGCCAATTTGTTGGATCATCTAATGGTAATAGTAATAATAAAAACTGCAAACTAAGAATCGGAAGGTCTCATCTTTTCGGCAATGGTCCTTTTTTTTTTTGATGCGGGATAATATGCACCAGAAACATTTGATTTTTACAAATCGCTTGCCAAATTTGTAGTAGGTACTAATGAGACGATAATAGAAGGAACCGATCTAGGCACAGATGGGCGATGGCATCACCCTCCATTTCATTTTAAGAGGGGAAAATAATGCCTCCTGCGATTCAGGTCATCGAAACCGGGCAAAGAATTTTGTCAAAGCGTTGTAAAGCGTTGCAATGTTTTTGAGCGGATGACTGTCTGTAAGGTTGAAGTTAGGAAGAAGCCATGATATTCACCTGTAATTGGCCCATGACTCCACAGCTATCCATACGGGAGGCAACATTGACTGTGTTCCCCCAGATGTCGTACTGAGGTTTTTGAGCTCCTACCACACCGGCTATCACTGGTCCATGATTCAATCCTGGAATGATAAAAACGCATCCGCTGGATCAGTTCGGTGCAGTGGTTATTCGAAATAGTTGCGGCAATACCGTTTTTCCTCCGTTTAAATGCATGAAAAACAATCGATTCTTGGTGAAGTAGCTTGCCTCACCTAAAATCAATATTTTTAATGGATTTAAACGGCGGCGGGAAAACCGTGTTGGCAACTTCAGCAAAATCACAACTGGTTCGGGGTTCAAAAAAGTATTATCATTCTTTAATCAATACAAGAAAGCTCAATTAGAGCTACTTGGCATTAGATTTCAGGCAGAGAGTTTTCAGAGGACCATTATTTTAATTGAATCATTTAGGCTCATTTACGCCGAAAAAAATTACGATACTACAGTAGAAGAGGATGAGATTTACGAATATCCTTTTCCAATCATCATGACAGAAAGATTCGCTCCATTGAGTAGGACCCTCCCCCCTTTTCTGAAACCATTTCTTGAAAGAATCGCCTGACATTGACCTGTTATGTTAAGATCTTCGTAAACGTATCTGTGGCTGAAGTCGAAACACGTGTACTTACATCATTGCAAGGTTTCAAAAATCCCTAGACTGTTTAATGTTTTTGAAGGAAAAAAGCAAAATACCTCGTTCACCGATAAATCCCGAGGACCCTTCTGAATACATCAGTGGCGTGGCGTGCTTTTGCGATATATCGATTGTTATGCCATTTAAACCCATGGAAAAGGATCGATTAACAGGGTGTTCCCAGCGAACACCTTAATAATCGATTCTTTACCATAGGTTTGAATGGCATACCAATCGATAAATCGCAATTCACGTCACGCCACTGGAATACATGTGAAGGAAATTCACTGAAAATTTCATGGAAAACTGTTAGTTAGTTCTCTTTTAAAGAGATATAACTTGGGCGGAGACTGCAATATTGCAGTCAAAGACATTTTCGACGTTTTTCGATTGGTATCAATGTAGGTGCGGATTATGGCATATTACTAATGTATGCAATACTTACCTATTCTTAATTTAAATCTTTGGAAGGATTCTTTATTAATTTGATCTAATATTGTCATTAAAGCTATTGCAAAATCTACTAAGGTCACAATGTTGTGTTCTTGCTGCTTGTTTATTCGCTGCACCTACAAGACAGATAAAACAAATGTTAGAGATTCTTAGAATTAAAAATAGAAAAATGAGTACGTAATATTGCCGCTAGTCTGCGTATCTCTATTCAGCGCTTCAGTTACGATTGAGTGCTGCACCTCTAATGCGTTCTCTTGTTTCATGATTCATTTACTTATGACATTCTGCTTTTTCATACCGATACTATTGCTCTAAAATAAGAGGTGATTGGATGTTTAAAAAAAAAATGATATTCTTGAAATTGGCTTATTCCGGCTGATGAATCGTTTGCTTGTATACTACAAAACTGGGTTTCCATTCAAAGAAACCCCACAAGGCTTAAATACATTCTCGTTGATGATATTTCACACTTATCAACGGTGAAATCCTCAAACCATGTACTTCATCTTCCGACATTGTGGACTTCCTGTAATACTTACTTAATTTTTGGGGTGGAAGAACTAACCAATGTCAATTTTTTAAAAATTTCGTGATTGTTTTCTCTGTTCGAAGAAGATTCTTTGAGCACCTCAAGGGTTGATGTTGATTTGGTATCATTCAAAAAAAAAAAAAATAAAAATAAAATAAAATGGGAGTGGAGATTTATAAACGCAACAAACGAGACACGAGGTTTGGGAATTTCACCGTCGTACGGTCGTTACTTCCAGCTTTTTTCCTTCTGCATATGAAAGGTTCTCCGGCATGAGTTCAACAATGAGAGGATTAACAAACGCAAAAACACTATGTGCTCCCATGTGTTTGTGAGAATGTGGAAGTAAATTAGCATGGCCTCACACGTGCAATTACATATAAATTCAATATTCTCATCCAATCTACGGAGTGTTTCATAGAACTGGATTTAATGTTGCGGTGCATATCGATGACCGTGCGAAACAACTTACCTCCATTGCGGTGTTTCAAAATTTTCCTTTCTATTTTAGTTTTCGGAGGGAAAACAACTCAACTTTATGACTTGAAATTTTTACAAAATACTCTGCTAGCAGAAAGGGACAATCAAGGAAGTTTTCAAGAAATTTCGACAACTGCTTTTCCCAGGCCCGGACTTAGGGCATGTGCAGGGCGTGCGGCGCACACGAGCGCCAGCCTTTGGGGGGCGCCACGAAAGAAGAAGAGAGGGGAAAAAAGGGGGGGAAAAGGAAAAGGAAAAAAGGGAAGAAAGGACAAGGGGAAAAAAGGAAAAGGAAACAAGGTTGGGCAGTGAAAGCAAGGAAGAAGGGGGAAATGGAAGGAAAACGGAGGCAAGAAAAGTGAAAAGAGAGTCCGCGAGAAAGGGGGGGGGCATAAAAACCATAGACAAAATATAAAGAGAATTGCCGTCTGAAGGTAAATTTTCAGGACAAAAACTCCACCTGGTCCATAGACGGTCAGGCGCCCCTTGACCCTAAATTTGCGGCTGTACAGAAATACAAGAGTAGGCATGTAGTAAGGGGGCGCCATAAATCCATCAAACAGGAGCCGACATAGCATTTTAGGCCACATTCGCCATCTTGGATTTGAGAATTTTCAAAAATCGACTGAAAATTCGAATTTCCCGTCGAAAAGTACTCCTGTTCCCGCGGTTCACAAAGCTCTAACGAACAGAATCGGAGGCCAGAAGCGGGGCTTATTTTAGACCACATCCAACATTTTGGAGTTGAGAATTTTAAAAAGTTGACTAAAAATTCGAGTTTTCCGTTGAAAAATACCGTGTGATACCGCGGTTTACAAGACTCGAACAAACAGAAACCGAGATAGCATTTTAGCCCACGTCCGCCATCTTGAATTTGAGAATTTTAAAAAATGCACTAAAAATTCGAGTTTCTTGTCGAAAAATACCTCCTGACACCGAATTTCAGAAAAATCCATCGAACAGGGGCCGAGATAGCATTTTAAGCCATTTCGGATTTTCGAATTTTGAATTTTGACTGATTTTGATTTAAATGCGTGATCCCCAAAATCGAAGCTCAGATTCGGATTCCTCGTAAAAAATCGATGCGATTTGATGTATCATACCCTGACACCGAATTTCAGGAGAATTCATCAAACAGGAGCCGAGATGGCATTTTAAGCCACTTCAGTCATTTCGGATTTTTGAAGTTGAAAATTTTTACTTAAAACGCGTGATACCCAAAATCGAAGTTCAGATTCGGATTCCTCGTTAAAAATTGATACAATTTCATGTATCATACCCGGGCATAGCGTGAAGGAAAGGGACGTAACGTAGACATACTGATTCGAGCATATGAATCCAACGTGGCAACATGGGTAGTGCTCAGTGGGTCAGCGGAGGAGGAAGAATAAGAATTTATCGTGAGAAATTCCTCGCGACGAAACCGATCGCTTAGCGCCGGCCGGCGCCTCCCCGTTCGGTTTCACTCGGGCGACCCGCGAGGCGCGGCGGCGTAGTACAAAGGAATCTATACGCGTCGTTAAACCTTTTTCCTTCACGCTATTTTAACATATGATTCATGAAATCTCATCAATTTTTCACGAGGAATCCGAATCTGAGCTTAAATTTTGGATATTACGCGTTTTAATCTATTTAAAATCGTAAGAGAATTTACAGAATTGTCCTTGAAAATTGATCACACATTAGTGTTTTTTTACGTCATTAAACCTCTTTCCTTCACGCTATTCTAACATGTGATGCATACTTATAATCTCATCAATTTTTCACGAGGAATCCGAATCTGAGCTTAGATTTTCAATATTACGCGTTTTAATCTATTTAAAATCGTAGGAGAAATTACAGAATTGTCCTTGAAAATTGATCACACATTAGTGATTTTTTACCCCGTTTTTCTTCTACGTTCACGTAATGAAATTAGATCAACAGTTGACTCATCGACTAGTCTAGCCTAACCCCCCAGAATCGGTCTAAAGGGCGAACGATTTTATCAGATAAGATGTGCGGTCCTAGTCCTAGTTTCCAGGCAATTGCGGTTTGATGGAAGCTGCGATGAGGAGAAACGGAAGTTATGCGAAACTCGGGCGGATATTAAGTGAGAAACCAGGTAGGGGAAAGGCTTTCTTCCCGAAAAGTTAGTGCTCGGGCCAACTTACATGGTCACTGGAGCATTGTATAGCAGGTTGTGGGAAACTATTTTTTTGCAGCAACAACCAATTGGATCGCATTTTGCAAAAAGGAACTAAGAACATTTCAATGTTGCTAGGATTGTGCAACTTAGGTACATTCTTTGCAAAAAGTAAACTTTGCGACGGTAATTTTCGTCTCGAATTCATAGTTTATTGGGAGTAGAAGTGAAACTATAGGTAGTTTAGATGATCGTTTATGTTTGCAAGGTTAGCGACATTGGAATGCTCTTGACTTTTCCAAAAAAAATGTGAAGCATGACAGGAAGTCTACGACGTCGCAAACGGAGATACGTGGTTTCTCGTTTTGGCCATAGATATGCGATTTATTTTTTCATTGAAGAACTTTCTAATACGAGATGAGGGGGAGTTTAATTAAATTTAATAAAATTTAATTAAATTTAAGAAAATTTAATTAAATTTAATAAAATTTAATTAAATTTAAGAAAATTTAATTAAATTCATTAAAATTTAATTAAATTCATTAAAATTTAATTAAATTCATTAAAATGTTTAAATTTTATAAAAATTAATTAAATTTATTAAAACGTTTAATTTTAATAAAATTTAATTAAATTAATGATTAATTAATTTAGGTAGTTTAAGTTTTACTTACACTCGCTTCCTCTTCCTTGCCGGGCCTCAAGCCGGAAGCCAACATGTAAGTGCTACCGATTGTTTTGATTTTCTCTATGCAACTGAACTTGGGTTTCAGGAGCAGCTTGAAAAAAAATTTGAGGCGCATAAATATTCATGCGATAAGTAAATACATTAAGCAATAATTAATAGATTCTGGAGGTATTATGAAGAGAAGATGGAAATTAAGTGTAATTGAATTGCAAAAAAAACTGCACAGGTTTTGCTGGCAGTAAGATAATTAATACTGTAAATTTACAAATCATTAATACGTGTACCAAACTATATCAACTAAAGCTAAACCTAACAACCGGCTAAAGCTGATATAGTTTTGTTGTTAGATATTGGTTGTTTAAACTCCAACGCTATTAGAAGTAATGGAGCACGAACCAGGCATTCAATCATGATACTTATACAATTTTTTATCATTGGCGGATCCAGCAAATTGGCAACATTGTTTTTTCCGCATTTAAACCCATTCAAATGTATCGATTCTTAGAGAGGTCACGTGCTCCGACAAGAATCGATTATTTAACATAGGTTTAATCGGAGGAAATCCGGTGTTGCCAAATCCGCCTCTGTTTTTTATCGACCTCTCTCGGAATGAATTGAAAATATTCACATCTGTATATGGAAGCTGTTTGTATGTAATTGAAGGGGGTAAGAAAGGTGGTTTTTTTTTTTTTTTTTTTTTTTTTTTTTTTTAATTTAGATATGGATAAATACGAAGAAACCATGTTTTTCGTATACGCATTATAAAAAACCATCGAACTTGAGAACAAAATCATCAGCTCCATTTTATGATTGGAACATTTAATCAGCGAGAGGACATAATGCAATTTTCCAACTTTAAACCTGTTTCTTGATAATAATCACAAAAACCGTCACTACCATCGTACAACCGTTACTGCCGTTTCACCATCATTCGAAAATCATGCAATTGTATTGTAAAAGGTCTGTTCTATTTATTTAAAAAAGAGGGAGAGGTTGATTTTTTTAAATTATACTTTTGGTCTAATTTGGTTGCGCGAAGGGGAAATTTCCACAATTTGTCTGGTAATTTTGCTGATCGTATACAGATTTACAACGTACAATGTTGCCGGAGTGTTTTAAAATGTGGCATGTGTCTGTCTTTTTATGGCTTCGTTTCATTTTAACTCAGAAATCAAACTACAATTACCTTATCAAAATCACAGATGATTTCGTTGAGTAGCCTCAGACACTCAAGGCCCTGTTTATTGACATCATTTTCATCATAGAATTCTTTGTAATTGGGAATCGATGCAAACATTACAGCGATGCAGTTATATCGTTCATGATATAGCTCCTGTGGACAAAAATATCATCAGTAACATCATTTCAGTAAAACTTCGAGAATGAACTCAGGAAACACTTCTCTTGGGGTTAAATTGACCAAATCTTTGGGTTGAAACCTTGCAACCTCGTTAAGAATTTGGGGCGAGACGCCAGGATCAGAACATGGAGACAGTCCAATGCGATGATTGTGTACCCCCATCCATGGGTCGAATGGATTCTTTTCTCGAACCGATGAAATTTTGCGATATTTTCGATTTTTTTTTTTGACGTCCAAAGCTTTTCTCATATACTAAAGCCTATACCCTACCGCCAATTTCCTCTTTTGTTTTAAGATGATTTTTTTACTCTAAAAAATCGTCGAAATGTCATCGAAAATGGAATTTCACTCATTAGCAAAACGAAATTTGGCATATCTAGCAGAGGCAGAAGGTAATCAAATTTTTTAAATCTATATTCTGAGAGATCGATTTTTACACTTAAATCGATTCACCTCTAATCTATTTCCCCCAAAGTATACGTATCTTGCTGTCTTAACTTCAATGTAAAATGGCTGTTGTGTAAGTGAAATTTAACATTTCTGGCAGAGGCAGAAAGCAGTCGATTTTTCCGAATCGATATTTTAAAAATTCGAATGTTACACTTAAGGTGATTCGATGAACGTCATATTTCGTGTCAGGAGGCATGCGATATATCGCATCAATTGGTTCCACTTTTTCAGCTACTCGTCATTTCTCTCCAATTTTGAGATCGCAATTCTGTTGTCAGGAGACTAAAGCACTCACTTACCAATTTTAACAAACAAATTCAACGTCATAAAGGCGTGGTTTTTTTAGAGAGAAAATATCGCATTTGAGTGCACTTTCGATATCAGTATCGAATGCGATGCTTTCTCCCTGAAAAAAACCACGCCTTTATTACGTTGAATTTCTTTGTTAAAATTGGTAAGTGAGTGCTTTAATCTCCTGACAACAGAATTGCGATCTCAAAATTGGAGAAAAATGACGAGTAGCTGAAAAAATGGAACCAATCGATGCGATATATCGCATGCCGTTCTGACACAAAATATGGCGTCCATCGAATCACCTTATATCTATTCACTTTTAATTGATTTCCCCCAAATAATACGCATCCTTAACTGTCTTACTTGGGTTATTCTCGTTTGGAGGAAATGCTGGGCGACGTGGGCGGGGAGGATGTTTTCCAGGAGGATCTTGTTGATACCGCGCATCGTCTCCACCTCCTCCTGCTCGACCTGGAGCTTGGACTGCCACAGGAACTCGGAGCGCGCCGTGAACTCGATCTGCCGATCCAGGATGTGGAACACCATTATGATGATCAGCGGCGGTATCCATAGCCGTAGCTGCCACGGCACCTCTTCATATCTAATAAAAAAAAAATAATAATATTTGGCCGCAGCTAATTTAAAATTCGTCCAAAACCACAACCTGAATGCCATTTCTCATACGAAAATGTGCAAAAAAAAAAGGAATTTTAGCGGTCGTTCAATATTACGTAAACCGCATTGGGAGGAAAATGGAGCTCAGCGGACTGATTGTTGAAATTGTTAGACAAAACTATAGACAAAGAAGACAAAATGGATATGGAGGGATTTTATTGATGGAAGCGGATGGTTGCAATGGACGAAGGGCGTAGATCATATGTAGAGTAACTGGAAGCAACCTACGAGAGACCCTACAGTTAGTCCATCATTTCCTCTCGTGGTCTACAAGAACCACCCATTTTATCCAGTAGGATCGCTCTATACTCCCTATGTTTTCTTTGTCCATCGCTTTGTCTATCAATTTCAACAATCAGCCCGCTGAGCTTGGCTTACGGGGTCGTGCAAAAGTGNGGGGGGGGGGGGGGGTCAGGCGAAGACTTGTGTAAGCCTCCCTTATTATGAAAAAAATACTAATAATATCTTTCATTAAAAATACTTTTTCAGTTTTTATGTTATTTTTGGGGGAAATTTGGTGGAATAAGGGTCCGACCAGGCTTGTGTGAGATAAAAAGGGTGAGTTAAAGGGGAAGGGGGATGGCTTACGCGCGGCTCGTAGGGGAGAGGATGGTCAAAAAGTTGACAAAAATGATTAACATAATATTTGAACTGCCCCTCACTGAAATAAGTATGTTGCTTTAGAATGGAGATTAAAGAGGATAGGGTACATACAATTGCTCTAGAGTTAGCATCTCCGGTTACGTCATCTGATTGCCGTAAACACTCTCTCATTGCGCGTAAAAGTTACAGAGTCAAGTGAATATCTACCGAAGTATTCAGCATCTCCGGTAATATCAGCTGATCGCGTGTAAAATTTTCAGCGACAAGTAAATGTTTACGGGAAGTTTTCACATGTTATAGTATACTTTCGCGCCCAATCAGAGAATATTTACGTTGATCAGCTGATTTTTAACCGGAATACGGATACTTCCAATAAATCTACACTTGACACTGTAATGTTTGCTCGCAATCATTCCATTGAAGCTACTTTTTTTAGACACTGTGTTTGGGGATTCAGGAGGTATTATTTCATTGAAAAAACTGGAAAACACAAAGTGGCATGGAGCGACTTTTCGGACTAGAGTGACTGATTACGGTGGTGGACTCTTACAGAGACCATGCACCGTTGTGGCTCCGAAGAGTTTTCACGAAAAGATATTCACTGAAAAAAAATTGTATGCTATTTTAGCACCTACGATGTCAAAAATGTGTCAAGTGATCTGAAGATGCTGCCTTGATTGACCACGCAGTTGACTTTGGATTCACAGAATGTAAAGTTAACTGCGGGGGCAGTAAAGGCAGCATCTTGGGATTACCGGACACATTTTTGACACCCCAGGTGCTAAAACAACATCTTATTTTTTCCAGTGTTTGCATGAATTGAAACATCCCTGACACGAATTTGTATTCATTTCAAACAGTTGCTGGCTGATTATTGAATTTATCGCCAGTGCGACATGATATCGGAATGCGATATATTGCGTAGTCATAAGATACGATTCTGCGTTGTCTTGTCGTATTGATATAGATTAAAAAATCGGACTCCAATGAGGTTTTGATTTAATGAGCATGAGATGAGAAATAAAACTAGATGCGACAATGTTGATTCATTAAAAAATGAATACCATGAATATAAAAAAACTGGAGTGTACTTGTTAGTGTCAATGTTGTAGTAATGGCGGAAGAAAGACAGAGAACTGTAAATAGTCAGGTGGCTGACACCAACGGCAGACATTAGACTCAACTTGAGAAGGAACCCGATTCGGAGGAAGACAGAGATCACGGCGATGCTCAGCACCGAACTGTAGATGTAAGTCTGCAAATAGAGATAGTCGTCAAAATTAGCATCGCAAAAATAAGCCTCTCAAGTCAATACCTAGATAAATCATTTTAAATTATTCGTATCTGTGTAGATAATCTTTATCGAAGCGACAATACAGTAGGAGGAGTATGGAGATGGGAATAAGACTAATTTTGAGCTTTACCATTCTGCTGCATGTAAAAAATTAAAATAATTTAAAAATGGAAATGAGTGTTAAACGTTATCTCTACCATTGAGCTAGTTTTACAGAATATACATTTCAGACATTTTTAAATCTCTTTTTCTCCGTCTAATCTTCATGTGGCTTGCTCCTCTATTGTTAAATTATTTTGAGTTTTATCAAAAGTTTTATAAAATATTTGGATCGACAGGAAACAGATCCAATTTTTCAAAAATATTTGACGTGATTAAAAACAATAATTAATCTTGTATCAAATAAAATACAGTCAATAATCAGAACTGACCCTAAATTTTCGCATTTAAAGGCGTTTTTGGAAAAAAATTAGCTATTGCATGGTTGTTTCGAGTGAAGCTGGTCCAGAATTATATAGCAAGTAAAAAAATTGGATGCGAGGAGGCTATTTTCAATCTCATAACACCAATTTAAACTTGCATTAGGCCAACAAGTTCCACGTCATTTTTTGAAAGTGCAAACTTACCGGTACAAGTGCAGCCAGCAGTAACTCGAACGAAAAGTTTTCCATGCCCCATCTTTCATAGACAGAGAGGGTGAAATTTTTCAGCCGAGACCTTCCAATAATTTCTTCATTGTGCTCTATCGACAAATTGGTTTCTAAACCAATCTGAAATTGACAGGGAAAATATTTTGCAATCTTACTGAATTTTGTAAAATACTGTATACCACTGAAAATAATTTACGTGAAAGAAACTTTTTTATATCAAATCATATATTTACATTTAATATAATCATATATTTAATCATTCCTTTTTTTATATCAAATATTGTCAAATTTGATCAAGCTTTCCCTATTATTAAATGTCACATAAAACTCCTATTAAATGTAGATATACTCGATCAAACTTTTGTAAAATGTTTTTTTTCATCGAAGTTTTGTGTTGATATTTTGACCAAACTGTTTTGTAGATATTTCTTTGAAATTTTTTTCAAATTTTAATTTTTTTGCAAACTTTTTTAGAGTGATAATTGTTTTCAAACATCTATAAAATTTCAATATTTAGTTGAAACATTTTGATTACATTTTTTGCCGATTCAACTTCGGTCACATTTAGGTCGCTCATTTCAGCTAAATCTTAATGGGGTCAAAAGTTTTTCCGATGAAACAAAATTTCTTTTGGAGAGTTGGGGGGAGGGGGAGTTAAATAAACTTAGAAATTCCCTAAAATTGAAGCAAGTGACCGAAATTGCCTCAAAGAAAGTTTAACTTTAAAATGAAGGGGAAGAAACAATTGTCCCCTTCCCCTGCCCCCTATTCTCTCCAGAAAGACGCCTTCAGCCAACTTTTGACCCTAGAATCTTTCCAGCTTCTTATCGGTTGAGAGTCAATCGCGCTCAAAGCGATCGGAGTGTTTCAAGAGTTATGATCTGATCGTGGACGTTGACATGATCTTCACGTGTAGAAGGGAGGATGGGAACGTACCAAGGTGACGACAGCACAAAGGGAGACCAAGATGACGACAATGAGGAAGCAGGCAAGTCGGAGCCACCAGTTGCCTGTGAAGGTGAGCGCAAGGGGTTGTTCCGAGGCGCCGCCACCGGCCACGACCCTGCTTCGGCTGTCCTCGTCACCGTCCAACGACTTGGCACGACTCAAGAACCGGAGCATCAACAAAACAATGAAAGTCACTCCGAAACTAGTCACGAAAATCAGGCTCCTGCGACACGTAAAATGTTATAATCAGTCAAAACGGGAGGGAAAATCATTCATATGGACCAATAGGAGAGTGTAGAAAAAAAAAGTCAGTCATACATGTGCCTCATGTGCGGGGTCTGATTACCAGAGAGCTCCTACATCCTGAATGCAACTATTTGTGATCCACGGACGAGCGTATTGCATGTGCAAAATAAGAAGGCGCTTTTTGACAACAACGCCCGCATGCAACTATTCGTGTAATGGCATTCGTGTATGAATGTGCGTGCATGTTGCATCGACAAGAATATGAAGGCATCCTCGGTTCCGCAGCCCTAATAATTCGCACTTCACGACTTTCAAGGATGACCGTAATGAATTCACTTTATAATTTTGTGACCTATATTGCACTTATAGGGATGCGTTCGTTTCTAAGTGCCAGATTTTAACAACGGAACGTTTGACACTTAATACGACCGCTCATTATCGCACTTACTTTGGTATGTTTATGAGTTGAATCAAAAGCATGACGAGAAAGAGACAAATTGCAGCAGAGATATAGTGACGAAATTTGTAGTCTGTCAAATTCCTGAAGCTGTGTTCCTGGCTGTCACGCCGATACCGAAGAAGCAGAGGGCTCATTTCGTCGGAGTTCATCCATTTCCTAGAAATTGAAAATGAATTAGTTTGGAAAGGGATTTTTTTTGGGACGGGGACGGGGGGCATCACGTTTAATTTTTGTAAGTTTGGATGTTCGCCCCTTCTTTTATTTTTTTTAAATTTTTTTATTTTTTTTAAAAAATAATACTCAGAAACTTACTCGACCTCACAGCCAAAGGCAACCCGGACGAACGCCCAAGAGATGGGCACAGAGCTGCCTTTTAGAGAATTAATCCCCTCTCATCGCCATCATATTTTATTTGTCATATTTATGTACTATTTTAGAGGCTAGACGAACAGGGTGACGGCCCTAGTCAGAAGGCAGAAGAAGAAGAAGAAGAAACTTATATTTCACCCTTGTAGCATGAGATAAGAAAAAATTGTCAAAAAGTCGTTACTTACATGAGACATTTTTAGGAACATCTTAGATGGTTCATAAGTATTAAGTTAGGAAAATAATCCAACTGTCGCATTTCTTGTGCGTTTTGTTTTCAATTAGAGCAGTTTTGCTTTTAACCAAGAACTGAAAGGTAAGGAAATATTTTCAAACTCTCAAAGTACTTGCTATATTACATGAAAACGTGCACCTTCTTATGCTTTCCGTTTTGCAATCAATGACTGAGGCTTCAAAGATTTTTTAAAAATTCATGAAACAAAAAAAATATTTTAAACTTCAAGTTTTACTTACTTGCATTCCATACAGAAATTATGCTGAGGTAATAAATTAGACTCAATCATTGCAATACTCTGAAAATGAGAAAGAAAAGTGCGTTTTATTTGTCATAAATGCGACGCAAATGGGAAAACCACTGTCACGTGCAGGGAAAAATTGACACATGGAAAGGCAGTTACGAGCGCATCACGTCTGAAGCCAGGAAGTAATATTACATTTGAAGCCTAAAGCCGTGCGATCGTGACTGAATTATGACCGAATTCAGATATTAAGGAAACACCATTGACTGATCTTATTGCAGTTCCTCCAGATTAATTGGACATTTTTGAACTCTAAATCTTTGCTCCTGGCTCTAGATACGGCTGTCAATATTGATCTCACTATAAAGCCTTCGCTTGGCGTACGAAAAGCGCAAATAACCGACTTTTCTTTTTCCAGCAACGTTACCCGGTTATGATCCTTTGGCCATGGATCAGGATATGAGGATTACAACAATAACTAGCAGAATTATGAGCATTTGACACATTACGATAACATAAACCGTCAGAGAGCGAGCCTGGATACGATAGAAGTAGGAATAATTCAGCATCAGCTCAATCCTGAGACAGTGTCGGAGCGCCTTCAAATCAGAAGCTAGGCAGAAAATTGTACTCATGCGCTTAATAGATAATATATGTTCAACGTTCTCTTTATATTTTGACCGCGTTCACCAAAAAGGAACCAAGCCACATCTGTTGCCAGATTTAAATGGGTAGTTTAATTTTTTACAAGAGAACGTTTGTGCGGATCCCTTTGAAAATTTGAGGAATTTGCTTCGTACTATGCAGAAAATTCACTGAAATTTGCGCAAAAATCCGCACAACTGTTTTCATGTAAAAAAATAAAATATCCCGACTAAATTTGGCAAAAACTGATGTGGTTTGGTTCCTTTCTACTTCACGCAGTTATCTGTGAAGATACTAATTGCCTAAGTTGTTGAATGTATCTAATAAAATATCTAACTAATTATTCCATACGTATGGAGATGCATTATGCATGGCGTTTACACAAAATAAGGGAAGATATAGCCGGACTAAGGATTTGTTGAATTAGATTTATTACGAATGCGTTTCAGAGTATTTACTCCATCTTCAGCGTATTAAAAATGGACAAACAACAAACTATACAATAAAGTAAAAACGTATCACAGTGCATGACTGACTACCAAAAGAGAAAGATAAAGAAAAAAAAGAAGTAGAAGAAAAAAAACACAGTTATTTGCACAAAAGAAAGCACCCAAAAACTGTTTTTTTTCCCTTCTTTTTTCTTTTTTCTTTTTTTTCTTTTTTCCTTCCTTTGTCTCTTGCCAGTCAGTCATGCACTGTGATACGTTTTTATTTCATTGTAGTTTATGGTTTGTTATTTTTTAATACGCTGATGATGGAGTTAATACTCTGAAATGCATTCGTAATAAATCTAATTCAACAATTCCCTGGTCCGGCTATATCTTCCCCTATCAATTATTTAATCCTTATTTTATCCCCCTCAGTGTGCTGTGACTCTTAACAGACCTGCTTTCGCCCTCGGTTCGAAACCTCGCAAGTAATGTTTATAAACCATGCGTATGCTGACCATCCTTCTATAGGGAGAAATTTGAAATACTGGTGCCTGGTGCAAGATTACTTACCGTAAGACCTATATTTTTAGCAAGGGTGCTTTCGGTGATGTTCGCGAAGGGCTTATCTGCACCCCAACACTCCACATACTTGGTCATCTTGCTCGGTGACCTATAAGTTTTCAACAGGCCACTGCTCTCATCTTGCAGTCCCGCGCAAGACAGTCGTCCCTCCACTGTAGTACCGTCATTCCTCCTCTGCTTAAATAGGAACAAGGACAAGACAAAGACAATATCAGTTCAATTTTTCTTTGCCTGGCTCCTCGAAAGAAAACAAAATTTGTATCAAACAATAAAAACACATTGAAATACAAAAACAAATGGGTATACATAGCTAAGGAGAAATAAAACAAACCAGGACGTTTCGGGTCAATTACATGCCCATTCTCAACCGGAAAAAAGCTAAAAAATGTAAAAATTAAAACAAGAAATGAGCATGCAACTGACGGAGGTAGGAATCAGTGCAAACATTGGCCCGAAACGTCCTGGTTTGTTTTATTTCTCTTCAGCTTTGTATACCCATTTTTTTTGTAATTCAATCATGTGTTTTTATTGTTGTGTGCATTCGGGCTAGTGTGTCTCATCTCTCTTTTATCACTTTGTATCAAACTTGACCCTGAAAGCGGAAGCATTAACGCGGATAACGAATTTCGGTTTGAAAGCTACCACGAATCAATTCTGCCGTGATAAGGAAGAACGCCGTATGAACATCAGAGGGTTGCCAAATATTCGCAGATAAAACGTTAATATTTGAAAATACTTATGAATAGTTTTCCTTGAAATTTTCAAATAATGTAGATTAAAGTGAAATTCTTCCAAAAATTGGAAGAAAAGTATCAACAAGTTTTGCAGCAAATTCGCATTTTATCGAAGGAAATTTGGCAACACCCTAAAGCTTATATGGCGTTTTTCCTTAGGACGGCAGAATTCGTTACCTGTTACGCGTGACGACTGACAAGTTTGTAGAGGGAGCATGATCTCAGATCTTCACTTGATGATTTGATCAAGTCTTGTTGTTAAAGTTAAAAAGTTTAGACCGGTTAAAAAGATCCAAATCTCCGAGTCGATCATTTGAAAGAATGATTTTTAGACCCAATCTTTTTGAGAGCCTGATTTTTTGAATCCGATCTCTTTGAAAACCGACCTTTTAATAGATCGAGTCTTTGAATCTGGACTTCTTACAGATTATATGTTTCATCTTTAAAATTTTATGAAGAATAGTCACAAAAAATTTTAAGTTCTAGTATGACATGCACAACTTTAATCAACTCCTACAGAAAGTATAAGTATCGAAGATTCGATGGGTGACATTTAATTTGCAATATAATTATATCATTTCGAAAATCATTGCAGTTTTAACTTAAAGTTTTAGATTAGGAAGAACAATAATATCAACAGGGTTTACGTGACGTCATAAACGTGTGCTTCTAATAACGATATCGATGGCCAGGGAGCAGGGCGAATAATATTGTTCGAAAGTTCGTATCAAAGTTCAAATTTGCATGCACTGCGAACATTTAAAAGTCCACATATGCCCACCTAAATGACGTCATAAATTGAACCATTAGATTACGTCATCACCGGCCAAAGAATCTCTAAATCCAAATTGGGATTGACGGCAATACTTTCTAAGTCCAGACACGTCTATCTTTATCGATAAACACAGCTTACATCAATCAAATGTACAAAGTGTTACTTCTTCACGCACAAAGCCGACAGACATGCCCTTAGTCCATACGTCAAAAAACAAAAACGAAAAAATATACAGTATAATAGGTTCTAAGAATGAAAGCTGTAAAAAAGAATGCTGAATTTTCCCGACACATCGAAGCACAGCTCACGCAGTGCGAATGAGTCATGCTAGAGTTTGAGGCTAGTTTCATCTAAACTGAAACTGCGGTTCGCCGAACTAGCTCCAACAGAAAAAGTTCGGAAAATTTAGAATTCCACTTGTCGCCGCTAACGAGGACGAAAGCGCATCCTCAACTACCCAGAATATTATGGCACTCTCTGACTTGACAATTGGCTCGGTCGATGTTAAAATATAGCAATTTCAGCATCTGATGACCCCTAAATTCTATATTAATGCTGTCATGCGAGGGCCCATCGGAAAATGGACGTGCGCGGTTTCAGCATCGACCGGTTTAATCGTGAAATGAGATAAAGCGAACAGCGGGACTTTGTAGGAGTCGCCCCTCCCTCATCCGCACCTAAATCCCTGCCTGCCCCTTTCTGTCGAGTGTGTCTCAACATTTAATAACGCAGATGTCGGATTCAAAAACTTCTGTTCACACGTCTGACTCCTCTCACCTGCATCCCAAAAGTTAGTGGCCGCATTTTCCGAGTTTACGGCTTGCGGAGCACTAGTCGCATTTTCATGCAGAGGAACATTACTCTCTGTCCTGCCAAGAAAGGGCAAAGCTGTCGTGATAGCGAAGAGAGCAGTAAGTGTCAAATTTTCGAAATCGAATTTACCTCAAAATTCGTCTAATCTCTTTTAGATGAAATCACTGAGATAGTTGCAAAATTCATTTTAATTGTATCAAAACGAGACATATGAGAAAGCCGTAAATGCGCAACAAATGACGTAGTTTCAGGCAAGACAGCAGTAAGTGACACTATTCCTCCAGAGAGCCAATAAAACCAGTGCTTTAAAGTAAAGTGCCGCCCTTTTCTGCCGATTTTCAACCTGGAAATGTGTTTGCTGTGTGTGTGCAAAACGCGACCACGAAAGCATGCAGAAGATAGCACTTGCGGCTGTCTTGCCTAACAATAGCCAGCATGAAAATGAAAAATACCCTTTTTATGTAATTGAAATAAAATCGGTCGATTTTTAATCATCCAAACGGTTTCTAGAAGTCTTTCGGAAGATTAGCAGCAGCTCAGTGGTACGATGCAGAAGGGGTGCTTGAAATGTATCATGATTTAATCATGATACTTGATTTCTAACTACACTTGATAGCTGACAAGGATATTCTCTTGCGGTTTGAATGCATGCGTTCAAAAGTAAGTCGGAACTCACCGATGGAGGTATGATTAAGTAGGTTTCTACTTTGTGATCGGCTAGGTATGCCTCCCTCTTGTGTCCGTCTCCAGGCTCAACTTGAAATTTGTTATTTAGCTGGTTCAATGTTGCCCTCGTGATATGGACACGTCTGAAAGAAAAACAAAATTGGGTTGCCGGTATTATTGCCCATTACGTTCGCCTAGAAAAATTTAGGCAGTTGTCAATACTGAAGTTTGAATTGAGGGGCTTGGAGGACAAGGCGCATAAATGCAGTTTTTGCCATTTCGAGAAATACGTGTTCGAAGTTTCGAAATTTCGGGGAGCCTTGTGGCGGGAAGAAAGTTTGAACTGACTTTTTGGTGCTTGAAAATTGGAATTTGGAAGCGAATTTTTCACAAAATATGCGTGCAGACTAGTTTTACTGGGAATTATCAATATCTCATTTTTTTTTAAAAAAACTGCACTTGTGTGCATTGTCCTCCAAAGCCACTCAATTGACAAGCATGAACAATGAACATGTCTTTCCTTACATTTTAAATGCGTTGATCGTTTTCAGCGTAAAATTCCAATGGACCAAAAAACAGGATACAAAATTATGGACCATTGTGGACCATAGGAGTTATAATGCACCAAAGGAACTATATCGATGGTCAAAGTGCGAGTGCACGCATCGCCGCACCGGTCGCAATCAGTCCAAAACGCATTTCGACGTCGTAAGTCGGCAATCACCTAACTCGGTTTGCGAAGTCGCAAACTTCCTGTCATACTTTATTTTTTCAACGTGCCAAGAAAATTTTGCAAAAACTTCAAGGAATGATATCAATTTGTTCTCTTTTAAAAAATTAATATAGAGGCGGAGATTTTCAGACGAGATATGTGATTGCGAACTTACGCCGTCGATATGAGCGCCTACAAGAGTGCAGGAATACTTCACGCATTGCGCCGCCTGCATATGAGCGCCTACAAGAGTGCAGAAATACTTCACGCATTGCGCCAAACGCAGTGCGGTCACCGTTGCGTTACCAATTCCCAATTTAAGTACGCTCCTATTTTATCTTTTATAAGGGACCACACAATCGCGATTCAGCAGGCAAACACTCCACCAAGAATCAATGCGCAAGGGATTGCCTACTTTCCAGGTTGTCTGAAGAAACACGCGAGGTATGCGGCGGAAAATTCCGGACCTTCTTGCGGGATATCAGTACTGCCGGACCGCTTCTTTAAAATCAGTACTATTTCCGGACTTTCAGGATTTTCCAGACCAGTAGGCACCCTGTTGGCGACGCTCGAAAGGCCTCAGGACGTTTTTCTTACAGCACAGTAGAATGGTGCCGGCAGAGACTAGAGTCCCTTTATACTGAGAGTCAAGACAACACCCCTCATGGAGTCACAAACGGGAATAAAGATTACAGAAATTGAACGTTTTTCGTAATCTTTGATCGGCTCATTCTTAAATTCCTTTCTTTGTTCCTTCTTTCATTCCGTTTGTTCCTTGTCGAACCCGAAATTCCTCGGTCCATTCCAGATTATAATATTTGCAATTGGTGAAAATGTAATCTTTATTCCCGTTTGTGACACTGTGAAGGCCTAAAATCCGGTTGACCAATCAGAAATGGATTCGCATTGTCTTGACTCTCAGTATAAAGGGACTCTAGCAGAGACAAGGCCGAAGACAGGGATAAAAGCCCAAGGCGCCTGATGGGGATCTTAATCATTCGAGTCGAGTGTTGGAATCCGACTCATCGTGAAAGTTATGACGCGGTTAAGTATAGTTTGAGCTTCGCGGCACGCCCGCACGCACCGCGGTTTCCGCGGCAACTTTGAAAATTAGTGGGCTCTAACGAAACTTTGGAACTTGCTCGATTTGATAATAATCGAGGCGCTTTGTTGATACTCCATCGCTCGTTTTTGTACTTGTCAAAGGTGGCTCGTGCCTCCACTCAAAATGACTCATTTTCAATCATCATTACTATATAACTACCGTGCTAAGGAAAAATGCCGTATAGACATTCGAGTGTTGCCACATTTCCCCGGATAAACGTGTATTTTTACGGAAAGTTATTCATATTTTTCCTTGACATTTTCAGATATGTCAGATCAAACGGCGAACAGAATCGCCTATTAATTTGAAAAAAAAAAAAAATATTCAAAATTTTCACCTTAAATTCGCATTTTATTGAAGAAAATCTGGCAACGCCTGAAGACTCATACGGTATGATTTCTTAGAACAGCAGATAAGCTTTCTGACCCTCATCATAATAAAATACCTAATTTAGCGTTGAAACTCTGCAATTCCACCTGTCAATATGAATGGGTATTCACTATTTTTTTTAAAAATCATGGGGCAAAGGTAGGTTTTAAATAACTCGCTTCTTCATCAACAACGAACGCCTTAGATAAAACGAAAAGAATGTTGGACGCACATTTTTGTGACTTCCCAATAAATAAAAGTTTTAAGCATTTCACTCACGGGTTTCCGAGAAAACACAGAAATTCTCTCACAGAACTTATCTCCCGAGGGGCCCATTTTTAACGTTCCAAATGTCTCGAAAAGTTTGAGTGGTTTCAGGCTTAGTAAAACCAGACCAGCGTCAACATGACTGTATCTTCGATTATTTATACGAGCACAAATTATTGTACTATCACATGCGTAGGGAGGGGACATTATTTGTGAAAATCAGAGAACATCTAAATCGATTGAGAAGTTTCATAATCTCTGCTGCTATTTTACATTTTGAGGAATGACTGATACACGCCATTTTTTAAACTTTTCGCAAAACATTCTGCTTAGGATGAAGAAAAATCATCAAACTTCCGGGAAGTAAAGACATTGGTTTTCCTTCGAGAAAAATGTGATACACGAAAAAAACAAAATGAAATTGCTGATATAACTATTTTGTAGTCAAAAAAAGTGTCGGAGATATTTCAATGTAGATTTTACAATTAAAAATACTGATTTAACCATTGTATATTTGAAACATGTCGGACATATTTTTTTAACAATTGAATTGCTAAATCAGCAATCCATTTTTTCCATGTATATGAGAAATCTGTTACATCGCAAATCGATATAAGCTTTCCTGCTTTTCTACTTACCTTTTATCTTCCTTTGTACTTTTAATATCCCGCATTTAGTCTCTATATTCCTGTGAACACTCCTCTGTGTCCACTTTTCGATCTGGCCTGCTTGCCACGAAACATACCATTCTACAGTTCTCTTGCCAATTCACCGTCCATTAGTTTTCTTTGCCATTAACCGTCACGGATTTTTCTATTTTACTCCAATTTACTCTATTCAAAGTAGTTTCTGTAATCTCTGTCTATCCATGTAAAAGCAGTGTACGTGTATTTATATTTAGTATATAAGATAAATTTAAGACTTAAAAGACCATATAGGTCTAGAGTTATATTTTGTACATCGTTATTTTGATTACATGAATTAAAAAAAAAAAAAAAAAAAAAAAAAAAAAAAAAAAAAAAAATTGCTAAATCAGCAATTCATTTTTTTCCGTGTATATGAGAAATCTGTTACATCGGAAATCGATATAAGCTTTCATCGACTTCGAACGTTAATTTCTATGCCTCATTAACGCCATTTTTCCTCGCGGCGGGTTTTGCAGAGAAAAGCTAAGAGGGAGGCCACTCCCTCATATCAAAAAACCAAGTTAAAATAAGAGCCGTTGTAGCTTGTTGGGAAGCTGAGAGTTTGCTTCCTCGAGCGCTGTTTGGATTTTGTCCCCAGCATTCATATTTGCGCAGAGGGAAAATCGTTGAACTAACTTAATAATGCAGCGCGTGAAAAGTGGGTACGTGAGTCCGTGGGAGGATGAGTTGTGTATGGAAAATCCGTGCTTCCTCCAGAGCCAGAGAACCAAACTTAATAAACTGTAGCTCGTCGAAGAACTAGAGTGGGTATGAAAAATCTCACACTAGTTTAGTTGAGCGATTGGCCTGCGTGTATTATTGATGAGGCTGAAGTAAAAGAAACCATAGTGTAGGTACTGCAAACCCATGGGTGACATCATCAATCAAGAGATATAACGGCGATTTCTTTGATATTATTACGCGTTCAGGTGTAGTAGGTATCCAAATATGTATGACATTGAAAATATGTATCAGTGTAAAAAAACATCTAGCTTTAGTAGAAAATGTGCTTGTTTTTTAGCTTTCTGTCTCGAAAAGTTTAACACAACACATCTCATTTGGACCGCATTTTGCGATTGGGAACTATAAATTCTGGCCCGGTTTAAAAACAACGTATGCACCATTTGTTTCCCTATGCACATACGTGTTTTTTCAGATGAGTCAGAATTTATAATTCCAAATTGCAAAATGCAGTCCATTTTATCATCATTGAATGGTTCTATACGATTGGATTTTTTTTTTTTTTTTTTTTTTTTTTTTTTTTTTTTTTTTTTTTTTTTTAATTATCCTGAATGAATTTAGGTAGCTTAATTTATGTTCTACAGAGGCTAGATTTGTTTAGTTACGGTCAACCCCTTGACGATTCTTTGACGACCAACGTTGAATAATATCGTGAGACGGTAGTCTTGGGTGGATACAGCGTTTTTGCTTTAAGGTTCCAGCAGATGAATCAGGTCTACTATACGGTGTAAATCCACAATCCGGTTTAAAAGTCGGAATTGCTTTCGGAAAAATAATCTACCCACGGAAGAGTTAAAAACACCTGCTGGAATTTAGTATTCGATGAAGCCTTTGATTCGTTTTTGATTGCTCCGTTTGTTTCTGCATCGGGGAGGCATCCCCCCCCCCTCACATTCTCTCTTTGCCTGTGCATCCTGAACCAGCATATTACCAGTCCTAGAAACACACTTACAGCACTTACGTCATTTTTCAAAACTCAAATGTGAGTAGTGCTCTGCTGCTTAGTGACGTTCACCTATAATCTGCCGTGCTAAAGAAAAACGCCGTATGAACATTCAAGAGTTGCCAAATTTCCTCCGATGAAACGTTCATTTCTGAGGAATGTCATGAATATTTTCCCTCGAAATTTTTAGGAGCTTTAGATGAAATTACGAACAAAATTACCTAAAAAAGATGGAAGGGAGATATTCATGAGTTTACCAGGAAATCCGTGTTTTATTAAAGGAAATTTGACAACGCCTGATGGCTCATACGGCGTTCTTCCATAGCACGGCAGTAATGCAATTCAATCCCTCGCTGGTTTAATATTTTGGATCCTTACAGTGCACCTGCACTGATCTAGATTTCCAATGCGCAAATGCGTGTTTCGTGAATCAAACTACAGTGATATCCAATCATATTTCCCCTCTTTTTTCTCTCTTTTCTCCCATGTGTAAGACATTCCGCGAGAAGAGGAACCTCGCGCCCTCAGCAAAATTTACAGGATCCGATCAAAAGATCGAAGCTCGTGAGGCATTTCCGCCGACTAACGAGGATATTTTATGAGCAGGCTTCTGCCAGGGGCAAAATACGTCACTCCGTTGTCACGAAAGCGTAACTATACTTAAAAGTGAACCCATTCGGTGGTAAAACTCCGTACTTTCTACGGTTTACGTGAAAATGATGATACGTTCTTTCGTCAGTGGAGGGACGAGCTGTAAATAGAGGAGGAAACTCGACTTAACAATCTTATTTGCACTGAGAAACCGCCGCACAGTATACCAAACCGGGCTGTGGTCACACATGTCTCTGAAACTCTTGCTAAGCGGCAAAAATATGTTCCCATCAGTAAAGTCAAATAACGATAAAACCATTGTGTACTTTCAGCCTGTTGTTTCAGCCTCAGTTCCTGTTGAACTTAGAAGAAATTTAAAGTGACAAATTCTGATGCACCTCTATTGGTGAGCCGCATAAAAAGTTACTTTAAACTGCTCCTAATTCAAATAACCTCTCGCATGGCATGGCTTTCAGGAGACTCACGAAAAATGAGATAGTAGAATAAAGATGACTCACGCTGCCCTACACAAACGCAGGGCCGGATTAAGGGGGTGGCCACATAAGCCGCGGCCCATGGCGGCAAATCTATAGGGGGCGGCAAATTTTGCAATTTTTTTAAATGTAGGTATAAAAAAAAATCCGGATTTGGAAGGCAAAATTACAAATTAGGAAAGGCGACAAAATCGCTCTAATTTTCTGAGAGTATAGTACTTTCTACTTTTGTCGTCTTTCAGGGATACAAGAGAAAGCACCTTTAATTAGTCGAGTTAAGAGAGAAACCAAACACGCAATTTGGCCTGGAACGGCGCGACTTACCTGGAGGGAAAGGATGACAAGGACTTGAGATGAAAAGGAGAAGCCCTCGGCGCGGCAATCAGCATGTAACACAAATTAGCGCCTACAAGACTGCACGAATACTTCACGCATCGCATCAAACACAGTGCGGTCATTGCGGACAGCGTGAAACGGATAGCGCCTACAAGAATGCATGAATACCTCACGCATTGCGGCAAACACAATGCGATCTGCGTGAGACGCGTAGCGCCTACAAGACTGCGTGAATACTTCACGCATTGCGTCAAACACAGTGCGGTCTGCGAGGCACGGCGGCGGAAGTTAAAATCATTAATCCACATTTATATTTGTTCTTTCATAATTTTTTCGTTCATTTCCTATGAATGGAAGGCCTTGTCCACACAGAGGTAGGTTTACGAAACTTAACTTTCGCGCGAAGTTCCGTGAACTTTTGCTAGAAATGTTGACAGGGCTTTCCCAAAAAATGTGTTCAACACCAGTAATCGCGTCTTATGCACCCCTCCCCCGCTGGCACGTTCATTTGATGGTTTTCATTGATGTTTCAAATCGAATGAGGAGGGGGCGGCAAAATACTAGCGGCCCATGGGCGGCAAGTACGTAAATCCGGCCTTGCACAAACGTAGTCCAGCCAAGACTGATTCCCCTTAAAGAAATTACTTTCGCATTTTTTTCCAAAACTTTTAGTTGAACAGTCCAAGCGCTATACAGAATTTTCAATTGGACTGAATTTTGCAATCCGGAACTATAATTTCTGGCTCAGTTTAAAAACAACGTATCCACCATTAGTTTCCCTATGCACGTGCGTGTTTTTACGAGTAAGTCAGACTTCGTAGTTTGGCGTTGCAAAATGCAGTCCAATTCTCATTCCATCTAGTGATTCTCTCTCCGGTGGAGATGGAGAAAAAGTGTTTCCGTTTTCTAATTGTTTTAACGCGACTCAAATCAAAGCTGAAAAAAATGACAGGGAAGTCTATGCAATAAAAGTTGTCAGTCATCCTGAATAATGAGGCAGAAAACCCGCGGCCCGAGGTGCTTGCATGGCCCCGTAGTTTCCTCAAACGAATGAAGCCTCATGTGCAAAAATGACGGATTCTCCAGTCAGAATGCAATGGCAATACGCCATTTTTACACAAAAGGTTTCAAATTAAGGAAGGGGTAAATACCGTCAACGCCACTTCTGTCGGTCTAGTCGACCGATCCGAGTACACTCGGGGTGGAGGAAGGGGAGGGGCGCGGGAAATAGAAGACGGAGAGGGGAAGGGTGTTCTCCGGGGGGTTAACAGCCTTTCATTGTATTTGCAATATTCCGTATCATCCACGACTGAAAATGCTTTTACCACCAAGGATCCCCAGGCGCAAGGCGAGCGCTGAGGAATCTAATCTAAAAGGGAAACGCGAGCCTTGCCCCATCGTGTTTGAAGTCGGGCTCCGTAGACTTGGCGGCATCGAGGAAGGTAAATTAACGTTTCTTCACTCGGCAATGAGAAAATTAAATGAATTGAAATCATTAGTGCCTCCTTAAAAAGAGGAGTTTAATTTCGAGGAATAAGTAAATCTTCGTTCGTCAGCCCTTAACGAACCTCGCGAACGGTTTGGCTTGTCTGTTGACGAAGTAGGTGTTTTGAGCATCCAATCAGGGCCCAACCAGCTGTTGCAAAATTGGATCTTTAAAAAATGCAGTTGTGAGCTCCAGAGCGCATATTGTCGCATTATCGACAGTGTGTCGACACCTCTTTAGTGCTAGTTTTATTGCAGGAGGACTTAAAAGGCCTGCGGTCTCGATTTGGGGTGCCTTTATATACCGGTGACACTTAACGCTTCGCCACCCAGTTAATTTAGATGCCTATCCGACCCGCACTCAACCAAGATCATGAAGGGGTGAAAATAACAGTATTAACTATGTAATCAAGGAGGAAAAAAAATTTCGATTAAAGGTAAAATAATAACCAGGACTATCTTATTTTCTTTATTTCTACATGCGTTGAGTCTTTCTTTTAATAACTAGTGACTTGCAAATTGCCCGAGATCGTTGACTACCTGTGACATACATTTTGTTATATTTCCATAGGATCTGTAATTCCTAAAACTCTTCGAAAAAATAATAGCCAATTTCTGCATTCCTGAAACTCTTCGGCAAACTAGCCAATCTACCGATAACACTCAAGGCTCTCTGTGGTAGAAAAAATGCGGAAATATATTACGTGTAATTTTTAAAAATATATGTAACTTTCAGTGAAATAAACATCAAAGCATGAATGGAGCCAGTTTCAACTGAACTCCGTTTGAATTAAGTAAATTTTCCATATTATCTAAAAGATGTAGGAATTTCTGTATGGAATAAGAATAAAAGAGTCTGGAGGAGCATGCAAGTACAATACAAGTAAAATATTATTCTTGAAAATGTTGATTACTCTGAGTACTCACTCAAAAATACATTTAAAAATGGAGTATCAGAACTTAACTTATTAGTCTCACTAATTGTAAGACTTATTGATCGTGAAACTTTGGAAAGCTGGCTCATGGCTTAAGATGTTGCGAATTTAATGTCTCATTGCCTTTTTTGCAGGTTGGCTGTTTGTTTCCATTGCACTCAATTTCCTGTGCCCTATTACTAGTCGAATTTCTTAAAACTTTTTCAAAAATGTCGCAAAACCTCTTCACCTAAAAACTCAAGCAAGCACTGAAATTTTAATACTTTGCGTTAAAATACGTATTTACGTGTTTTATAAACATTTTGACGAAGGAATTGCCCAAATATGTCAAATTTAACAAGAGTAGTAAAGGTGTAAAGTTCGTACCCTCAAAAATGATCAATCAGTTCCTACAAACTTCCAGGTGCTTTAATCCAGATGCTTCAAATTCTTAGGAGAAAGTTCATAATAAGCCATCATCGTGCATGCCACGATAGGCCTCCAGCAGAGATGCAAAATTTCATGAAACTATATGCCGTGGAATTTCGTGAAATTTCAGCGATTCAATTTTTTCAAACTCTCCAATGAACTTAATATGTCACAAAACGCATAAAAATAGTAGGATTTTAATTTTAAAATTTTTGAAGAAAAATCATGAATCAAATGTCAACATTTCTCATTGAATTCTCGGATAATTGTTTTGAGATGCATACGCGGTTCCAGTAAAATCGTTGAAATTCCATGGAAAATGAATTTTCACTTTCCAGGAAAATAAAATTTTACGGAATGAAATAGCATTTTGCATTTTTGGCACAAGACATAGCTGAGCACATTACATAAAATCTCATCTCTTCAAAATTTCACAAGGAAAACGAAGCACAGGTCGAGAAGTCTGAAATCAACTCCTGAACAAGATTTAAGTGTTCACAACGACAAAATAAAAACATGTGTTGATACAGCGGGATGAAATTTCAAATTTTGTGGAATTTTCGACTGCTCCTGAGACATCCCTACTCCAGACAGGTAATCTAATCACTTACCCTGGAACGCCACCGGACTCCATGTGGTTTGCTAATGTGACGTCATCACTCCATACATCAAACTGCCATTTCCTGAGTCCAAGCACGCCGCAAAGAACATTGCCGGTGTGAATACCAATGCGCATGTCTACGTTGAATCCGGTTGCCTCTCGAACAAACCTGAAATAATTCATGTTTCAATTAAGGTGGATCCGGACAGTTCTTTTATTCATCTGAATAATGTAAACGTCCACGGGAAAGGAGACTCTTAAAACCGCAGTCGGTGCAAGGGAACATTATTTAGGAGCGCGATTCATATCAAAATAGGTTTAAAATCGGACCTCGAACCTTTGGACAGACAACAGTATTTATGCAATTTTCCAAAAAAGTAACTTATTTGAGTTAATTTTCAAGTTGGCAAGAGCTGCACTGCGATCCGAAAATGTTCAAGCCATGTAAAATACAGATTAGAATATTCAAAACGCAGTATTCTCAAAACCACGTTACTTGAACTCAAACCGTCAGAGATCCGGTTTAATTTGACTTGTTTTGTGCTTTTTCTTAAAATGCATGTAACCATTCATCAAAACAGCATTATCAATCCGTTCGGTTATAATACATTTCGTCAACGATTTTTTGTCCGCGCACCTGTTTTTTCCAGTAATTTACGTCCACGCAGTTTTTTCGGCACGGGAGTTTTGGTCCACGTGCCAGTTGAGACCCACAGTTAATTGGCCCACATGTAAATACAAACGACAACTGCTCACGACGTTTTTGGATGAAAATGTGAAATGTCTTGGAAGAATGAGGGTTTGCTTGTTTTTTTGTTTGTCTGTTTGGTCCAGCGGCGAATAATATATATTTGATCGCTTTGGTAAAAATGGGGAAGCGTCAATTCCATGAGACAAAATTCACTAAAATTCTCTACACCTCTTTGGTGTAACAGGACTTAATTATCTTTCAAGATTTTCCCACCTTGTTATACCTGAACCGGATAAACCTCTATATTTGCCTCAGCTAAAGTCTTTTAGATTTTTTCTGTGTACGATAAGTATCTTGATTTATTTTGCGAGGAAAGATCTGTGCTTTTAAAGGATGCCTGTCATTCTTAATACGTTCAATTTTGTATAATACTGTGCAACACCTCTGTTGTGATATAGTTGCTTCAGGCGCCGCCGCACGGCGGGCGGGCGGCCAGCGCGGAACGTGCATTGGCGCCTACAAACCTAAGTGGATACTTCAAGCATTGTGCAATGCGAGAAGTATCCACTTAGGTTTGTAGGCGCCAGTGAGCCTCTCGCGCTGGCAGCACGCCGCTCCGCTCCGCTCTGTTAGGCTTTAATATTTATACTCGCATAGTCTGCGTTTTTTAACTCATGATTTTGAAATGTTTGCACACTCTCCATTGATTATTCTCATTTAAATTGATGGGGAAAAAAATATGTATCAGTTTATCAAAGGAGAATAAAAATATAATGTGTGTTTTATAAATATTGGTAGTTCCGTGTCAAATTTAATGATTTCCAAAGCACTTTAATTTTTTCTTTTACATATTCTGCTTTTATTGTGCTGCAGCGAGGTGTACGCGAAACCAAAGGCTCAACATTTGACATATTTGACTCTAAAATATCGATGTAAAAATGGGTTAAAACTAAAGATTGCGGACTTCTTTGTTTTTCCCCCTCTTTTATTCATTTTTGCAGTTTCTGTCGGCACAACTGAGATTGAGATTATTGAAATTAATGTCGCTTGGAAAAGGTTTTACAAATATTTGCCACGTTTTAAAAATATAAATATTTTCAAAATGAAGTTTTAATTCGTAAAGAAAAAATGAAACAAATAAACAAAAAAGTACCTGTATATATATAAGGTATATTGTACATCGAATATTTTAAGGATAGAAATAAAACCAAATATTCACCAATGACAATTTAAAAAGATTATTCAAAAGGAGAAAGTAAGAACATTTTATTTAGAAAATGAGCAACCATAACAACACCTCTTTCTCTCTCAATTTCTCATTTCCATATTGTCAATATAATTTTACAAACCGACTAAAACATAACGCTTGGACTAAGTCACTGTTGCTTATTTTACATGTGAGCGTAAACTAGCAGACGAAAAATCGTTGACAAAATGTCCTGAAACCATCCGTTTAATTTTTACAACGTCAACTTAGAAATGATGAGCGCTACCGATCTAAATATATTCAGGTTTTATCGCATCCTTAATCGAAAAACCCCTACAGTTCTGAACTCTATCACGTGATACCGTTACCTCAGTAGGTATTGACACCGGGTCCATTTTATTGAAAGTATCAAGGAGAAATATCACCTTCACTCAACTTTTGTAATTGATTTCATTTCATTTTATTAACCACGCCCAAAAATGAAGGAATCGTGAACAAAAAATTATGTCACATTCATGTTACTGGAACATAGCTAAACGGGCCGACGCGGCGTGGGAGCTCTACAGGTAAAGGTTTCGCTGCTCATCTCATGGCATCGAGAAATCAACGTATCTCGAGCAATTGAGCTGTTCTCCCTTTAATCTTTTCTTTGTAAACTAAAAAATAAAACAACAGCGCAGATTTTGAAGCGTTACAGTTGAGATTTGCCCGAACACTTTTTTCTACTTCAACCATCGATATTCAAAATACCCTCGCAAAGATACGAGGATCACAAACAACGTTTCATGTGGTTTTAATTTCAAGCAAGAAAGGAAAGTTGATTTAATTTGCTCAAGTACTTTGTGCGCGGACAAAGTACATATTTTTCCAGATACGATAACGTCAGTTTAGCAATTTTAATCCCCCTAGCATAGACACTTGGCGCGATTAGCAGATGGGATGAGTCGGTGATAGGGATGAGGATCAATACGGGCTAGCGTTGTCGGTGCCTGAGAGTAACAGTATGAAACTCGACGGCAGACACCACATCGCCGCGGCCGCATTGAAACAATAAATTGAAAACTACCAGGCTGGGAGCATCAGTGATAATTGAAATCCTTTCACATGCAAAATCACATCACCCCGATCGTTGTTGCCAATTTCCTGCCTCCGGAGGGAACAGGGCTCGCAGACATGCAAATGAGGAGCACCGAAAAGGCCCGCATCCTCGAGTATTTGCTTAGCCCTCTAGTCGATGGGTTCGATTAAGGGATAACCTAAAACAAATGAAGGTGTTCGCACGCGACCTAAAATGGATTATCCGCCCGCTCTAATTGTTTATGATCACGTGTAGGTATTCTAAGGGGCCGTTCTGCAGTTTTCAGTCAGGTCTTCTTGGAATCCATCTCGCTCAACGCGATTTTAGTGGTTGAATTAGGATTTTGGGTGCACCAGAGACCAACAGAGACCCATGCTGCCTTGCTAAGGAAAAACGCCGTATGAACCTTCAGGAGTTGCCAAATTTCACTTGATAAAACACCGATTTCCTGGTACACTTATGAATATTTTCCTTCTAATCTTTCCGATAATTTTGATCGCAATTTCATCTAAAGTTCCTGAAATTTTCAAGGAAAAATATTGATAATTTTCTTCAAAAATAAACATTTTATTGAAAGAAATTTGGCAACTCTCGAATGTTCATACGGCTTTCTTCCTTAGCACGGCAGCATGGACGTTAGCCCATGCCCCCCTCTCCCCTCAGGGTGAGCCTGGTTCTCCAAGAATTTGGAATATCACAATCCCCCCTGCACACCATGAAAATGTCCTCACTCAATGAATACACCAGAAAAAGAAAAAAGTTTGAGATATTTTTCGAGGACCAATTAGTTGTAGAGTGGCATGCACTTTTGTATGCGGCCAAATTTAAGTAAGATTAGCCAGTAAAAAGCATTTAAGAGAGCTCATTTCCCCACAATTTTCAAGGAGATACCCCCCTCACCCTAAAGAACCTTTGTACCAGGAAGACCCAGACTTTTCCTCAAAATGATAGAATGGCAGCGGCTAAACCGAATCCAGAAAGTTACTCTAACTACGCGTATGAAGAGACCTTCTCTACATTCTGTTAGAGAAAGCTTTGGTGAGAATTTGGTGCAACTGTTGCAGGAACGCGGTGTCTGAAAAATGGCTCACTTAGAAATGAAACTTACACTGAAGTCTCGAACATCGAACAGTTTCTGCTCTTGTTTACCGCCATGTTCTGGAGTGGTGCACGCTGGTAACACATGAGACGTGAGTTTAAAGGCGTTTGATTTCAAATGATCTATTTGAAGGGATAATACTTTTTTCTCCACGAAAAAAGCAGGTTTTTCAAGGTATATGGTTTGGCGGTTCCCTAACAATTGGCCTTTAAGTTTCCCTACAAAAAAAGGAGCAAAAGACAGAGATGACACACAACTGAGTTGATAACTACTCGTGCTTTGCGGTACGTTTTTTTGCCTATAGGAAGAATTGAAGGCGATTTTTTTTATCGTTTGCCTCCCAAGATTTCAACACAAATCGATACGTTGCTTCGCAGAAGTAAGGACACTCTATAAAAGAGGACGTATCTCCGAAAGTGACGGTGCTTTTGGTTCCCTACAGATAATCTCCGCCCATTTTTAACCCCGTCATCAGAAGGAGTGAGAGAGCAGCGGCGTAGTGTCCGGTTGAAGATAGAGTAATGTCCTCTCGTTGTAGAAGAATTCAAATCGGCGATAAAAATGATCTCCACCCTTACAAGCATATAATTTACTTTCTTTCCCCTCTCAAACGGTATTAAAAATAACTCGAGAGAAAAATCACACGAGTCGGCGGGGTGAGTTCCAATAAAAAAGCGTTTTACAACCGGATTTAATGGCGGCGCCGATCAGGGAGGCCGACTCGGAGGAAGTTTTCGGTCGTTCGACTCGTCTTCAAATCGTCAAATCGGGGGAGGCGGCCTTCTTTCATCCGCGTGAAAGCTCCCGACTAAACTTAAGTTGCCGAAGCGATAAATCACGGTTAATTAATCGGATCACCGTTCCAATGGGGCCCGTGAATAATGAACGCATAGGTCCGAAGCCTCTCTCTACCGAGCTTGAGGCACGAACCACGTATTATAATTTAAACGTTGCCAAAATCCCTCCTATTATCTTATACGATCTAAAAATGCTGCTGTGACGTCACGAATTTCTGCTCGGGCTCATTACATTTTATTTCATTTTCTTTTATTCGTTATAATTTTTTCCCCTTAACTAAAACATCCAGTTTTGCT